TTTAGAACAGCCCTAATGCTTCCTGTACATTATGGCTCATCAGGTATTGTCAATATTTTTCTTCAGCAAAATATTAATGTCTTTACTCAAGATGTGTGTATGAGATGCGTAGGATTATGCTATTTATTGTGGTTTGACAAGTAAGTGTTTGTATTAAAAGATGAGTTAATACTAAATTGATGTTTAAAATAATTGCAACCATTGAATCTTATACATTAGGTGAGAGGTCATAGTTTGGTTCAGGTCATTTGAAATAGCAAGAGTTAGTCCACTTTTTAGCTAGAAATCAACAGAAGGCCAGATTAGTTAGAAGTAGAATGCAAGATTCTTTCAGGACTTTAAAGATCCTTATGCCTGGGGATCTGAGTGTGGTTCATCTCATTCTAAGTATAATCTCCATGCATCAGATGAATATAGAGCACATCTTTGACTTCTGTTTTCTTCATTTCTTTCTTTTTTATTTTGCAGAGGCAAGGTCTCACTATGTTGCCTAGGCTGGTCTTGAACTCCTGAGCATAAGTAATCCTCCTGCCTCGGCCTCTCAAAGTGCTAGCCATCATGCCTGGCCTGACTTTTCTAATGAGTTATTGGATCTTGAAGTGTTCAATTTAGCAGAAAATCTTGTATTGTCCCCTGGGGCTATCTTCTGTGTCTTCCTTCTTTGAATTTTCCATGAAGCTGTTTTCTAAGTCCAAGGAAGGCAATCTTTCTTTACAAGTCAGAAGGGGGAAAAAAGGCCATTCTAATTATTCTATTGTTTCCATGGATTCACTTGCTGTATTGTTGCCATTGTAACTGGTCCTGCAATCTGATAATGATTGACCTTTGCCACCAGGATACATTCGCTGATTCAGACCCCTCAGTTTTCATGGTGATTCGTACATGGAGTTCAAAGCTACGGTGTTTATTAGTTATTCACTTATGCTCAGCCATTGTTCTCAGCACCCTGCTCTGGGAGCCAGGCCTCCTAGATTTACCCACACAAATAGTGAGCAGATTGATGCTTCCCCTATACTAAAAACATTATTTGGAGCCCACCTCTTAGCTAGACTTAGCCTAGGCCTTCATGGTAAGTTAACCTTTGAGACCCCTGTTGGTCTTTTCTCTAACAAATATTAGTTGAGATTGTTCCCACCAGTCAGAGATGTTCAAATAATGTTGCAGGAAGAGATTAGAGTTCCCTTTCCCTTTTGCTGTCAGATTTGTATCTTGAGGCTCTTTTATATCCTATGCAGCAGCTTTGGTTAGATAGCAGAAGGCTCCATATTGTCTTTCCACAGAGCAGTGGGAATCAACTTGCAGTTGGCCCCGCAAGAAATCCATTTCTACAATAATAAAAATCTCCCAGGCTACTTGCATATCTTCCCCAAGTTTTAAATGTATTTTAAAATTCCACTTCACAGGAAGCCATTTGATAAAATTCTCTGAATCTCAAGTAGGTGAGTTGGATTGAACAGAGCTAAGCTTCATCTATGACTCATGAGTATCCATGTATAAAACAGGGCTTTGTACTTGCTTCAGCAGCATATACTTTAAAATTGGATCAATAGAGAGCAGATAAGCAGAAGCATGGCTGCTGCCTAAGGATGGCTCACAAATTCATAAAGCATTCCATATCTTGCATTGCCCCTGGAAAGTCATTTGACTATTTCTTGACCAGCTCCAAGGAAGCAGTGTGAGTCAAACCAAAACAGGAGACACCCAATATTAAAATTGTGATTATTACTATAAAACTATTAATGTATGGTGATGTATGAAATGAGAACAGAGCTGAGTAACATATGGGATGTTACATGCAAATATGTTGTTGGTATATGTCTTGGAAATCGGAAAATGTCAACTTGCATTTCCTTCATAAACCTGAAAAACAATAAAAGCAGGGTTTTTTTCTTGTGTGTTAGTTGGAGAGGATCCTGGCACAGACGTGCTGGCTTGGAGTCTGAGGAGGTAGAGAAGGAGTGGTGGTTGTCCAAGCCAGGTTTTGACATCCATTAATTTTCTGCTCTTGGTGTGATTGATGAGCTCAGTAATAGGGGAAATTATGTTATCTATTTTAATCAGATTATTTATATATAAATTTAGTTATAAGTTATGAATTACCTAAAATGCCCTGATGTACAAGCCACAATAAATACAACTAATAAACAAAATTAGCACTTAATAACATTTTATGAAAACTGCAACATTTGAATATTAGAACCTATGGAAAACACACATCAAACTTCATTTGGGACTCCAAAATAGTTTCAGCAATAAAGTTCAAAAATAAATTATTCCATTGCTTTCCTATTTTGCTGAACATTTAAGCATGTAATCTCATTACATCTTCCTAACAACCTAGTGAAGTAAGGTAGACAAATCGTTATTTTTTTATTTTTATTTTTATTTTTTGAGACGGAGTTTCACTCTTGTTACCCAGGCTGGAGTGCAATGGCGTGACCTTGGCTCACTGCAACCTCCGCCTCCTGGGTTCAGGCAATTCTCCTGCCTCAACCTCCTGAGTAGCTGGGATTACAGGCACGCGCCACCATGCCCAGCTAATGTTTTGTATTTTTTTAGTAGAGACGGGGTTTCACCATGTTGACCAGGATGGTCTTGATCTCTTGACCTCGTGATCCACCCGCCTTGGCCTCCCAAAGTGCTGGGATTACAGGCTTGAGCCACCGCGCCCGGCCGACAAATCGTTATTTTTTAGAAGAAACCACGGAGCCTAAGAGAAGCAACTTGTCTGAGCACAAATACCTATTGGTTACAGAGCAAGGACTTGTTCTGAGTGAAGGGTGCTTTGCACGATGTCCAGCCAACTATAGTTAATTTACTGAGCTGTGCTCCCTCCCTTTATGAGTACTTCACTTTTTTTCTTTAATTAAAAGGTGAATAAACTTGTAAAGCTTAAAATTTTGTAGTGTATGGGACAGAAATTAAATTCTGGTATTAGCGCTGATATTGCCTGAAATGGTTTAATAATTTAATGTGTTTGGTAAATATTTTTTATTTTAGTATTAAAATAACAATTTTATTTATTACGTTTTTATACATAGACTTTGACACCAAATTTTGGAACATAAAAAGAAGGTACTTCAAGGTAAGTAAGACTTCTGATAGTAAATTTCTCATTTACCTTGTTGGTCCTACTCTAGATAAAAAAAGAAAGTAAGATGTAAGATTAAGGTAGTTTTAATGGAAAATGACCAGTTTAAAATTATGTGTAAATTGCAAGTATATATATGTATATACATATATGCAAATTAATTTTCAAAGTTTCACTTGTTTAGTTTGGAATTCAGAGTTATTTAAGAAGGTAGTTGTATCTAATTTATAATCTGAAACAGTATTGTCTGAAAAAAATCATTTACTTAATTACAATCCCTAAAATTCTATATAATATTTTTTGCATAAATAAGATACAAGATTGTTGTTAGAATTTTGTATGTTTTCTCTATAGTCGCATTATGACAAATTGAAGTTGTTATACATAGGGATCTTCTATTTCATTTTTATAATAAATTGCTTGTATTTAGTAAATAAATAATTATAGTTGACCCATGAATAATGTGGGGGTTAGGGACTCTAATCTCTGTGCAGTTGAAAATCTGAGTATAACTTTTAATTTCCACATCTTAGCTACTAGTAACCCACCATTGACGGGAAGCCTTTCTGATAACATAAACAGTCCATTAAAACCTATTTTACTTGTGCTGCATTATTATATGCTGTGTTCTTACAACAAAGTAAGCTAGAGAAATGAAGCTGTTAGAAAGAAAATCATCAGAAAAAATATTACTGACTTTTCATAAAACAAGTGGATCTTCACACAGGTCTTCATCTGTCTATGGATTTCAGAGGCAGAAGAAAATCTGCATATAAGTAAACCCCTGCAGTTCAAACCCTTGCTGGTCACAGGTGAACTGTATTACATATTACTTTTTGTCACTAAGAAAGTAACTATCTTTAGAACTGGGAGCTCAGCAGTCCCTTTTTTGCACTATAAGTAAATGGCAATAAGAACTGTAAAATTGAACAAGCGTGCACCCATACAAATTGGAGATTATGTTTTGGAGCTACCTACTGAGTGCAGAAGACAGAAAAACAATTCCTTTGTGAGAAGTACAAGTTATGTTACATATTCTTACATAAACAGAATGGTTTTATCTGTCGACGTTTACACACATATGCACATGCACATATACACGCACATACATGAGCTCTTGCACGTGCATATGTGCACACTAATAAGTTCAAAGTCCTGCTGATTCTTTATGACCAAATCCATTATTTGCAGGGAGCAGCGGATAACACATCCTACACTTTGGATGTAGTTCTTTTGACTTTTTGACTCGTTCTGTGATAAACTGCCTTTAATGGGTGAACCATGTTTCTAGTTTTATAAGAAATAAAAATATTAGAAGAAAGTAAAAGGAACTCTATGATCAGTAGTAGACTGCTGTAACTTACTCAGTGGTCATATGTTTTTCTCCAGGTATACAAGTTACTTGAATGATGAGTTCTCCAGTTACACAAGTTACTTAAATAAATAATAATAATAATTATTATTATTATAAGAACTGGGGTCTCTCTATGTTGCCCAGGCTAGAATACAGTGTCTATTCAGTGGTACAGTTACAGCCCACTGTAGCCTTGAACTTCTGGGCTTAATCAGTCCTCCTACCTCATCCTCCTGAGTAGCTGGGACCATAGTCATGTGTGGTTACATCTAGCTGGATACACAATTATTGATTGATTGATTTGTTTGTTTATCTGTTTATTTTTGAGACAGTGTCTCCTTCTGTTACCAGTACTTGAGTGTAGTGGTGCAGTCTTTGCTCCCTGCAACTTCTGCTTCCTGGCTTTAAATGATCCTTTCACCCCAGCCTCCCAAGTAGCTGAGACTACAGGCATACACCACCATGCTTAGCTATTTTTCTTTTTAAGGCATGTATGTATATATGTATGTATTTTTTAGATGAGGTCTCACTATATTGCCCAGGCTGGTCTGGAACTTCTGACCCGCAAATAATCCTTCCTCATCAATGGCTTTATTCAATTAGATACAGAAATACCAGAATCTCCAAGTCAAATATCAAGGAGAAAAAAGAAAAATGGATTAGGTAAAGTTATTATGTGAAATAACCATCTGATGACAGTTACATATATCATATCAACTTAACAAAAATTTTATGTGATGCATTTGTATCAAGGATTTCCAAGACCACCCCCAGATTTGGTGATTCACTAGAAGGTCTCACAGGACTCAGAAAATAATCATACTCAGATCTTTAATTTATTACAATGAAAGGGTACAGGCAAAATTAGAGAGAAAAGGTGCATCTTGTCAAGTCTGGAGGAAACCAGGCACAAGTTTATAGGAGTTCTATCCTGTGGAGTTCCCAGGATCTGCTTAATTCTCCCAGCCTCACATTTTGGCAATACATGTGCAGTGATGTCTACCAGTACCAGAATCTCATTAGAGACTCAGGACCCAAGTTTTTAAAATGGAGGTTACTCTCCCTCACATGTACCCAAATTCCAGACTCCCAGAAGGAAAGCATCTGTTCAGAGTAACCACATTGTTTCTCTAAACACTTTAGACACAGTGAGCCATTCTTCCCAGGGAATGGTGGGAACTCTCTCAATTTCAATTTCCTAAACACCAGCCAAGGGGCCAGCCTTGCATGCGGGCCTTTCTAAGGATGTCAGTCTTTTGCCTGCTATATGAAAGCTTTTCTGCACAAAAGTATTAGCCCCAACTGAATTTTTGGTGTTGTTTTAAAATTTCATTTTAACAGCAAATAATATAAGATAGGGTCACTTGGTACTAGTTTCTGTTGTATGATCCATCCTTAGTTACAATGCTGGTTACTTTTTTGAGTTTTGGTGACTAACAGGTATTTCTTTGTAAGTTACCATAGCAGTATTAGGTAATTACAATCTGTCCTCCTTAACTCATTAGCCTTTCAGTAAAATTGTTAAATGAAATAAGCCTAATAATATCTGAGTTAAAATTAGAATAAAAATTGTCTTTTATTTTCATTACATGAATAATCTAGTTTTCATCTTGTGCTAAATGCCTGTTTAGAATTGTGAAATAAGATAAAATAATCATTTTATCAATGTTTTCTCGCCTGAGCATGCAATTAAATTTATTCGTTTTACATATTTTATAGACTTCGATTTGAGAAATAATGCCTACTTGCTATTAGTTTGGTCTTTAAGGATCTCCAATTTTGGGGGTCACCATGTCTTGCTTAAATATATCATAAGAGGTTCAGTGAATATCTTTTATTTTTCATTTTAGTTTTTGTTCTGGAAATCCTGGGATGCATAGATAATGAGTACATTTTTTAGATCGGTAACTTTTTCTTACAGCAGTTTTAGGTTCAAAGCAAAATTGAGAGGAAGGTATAGAGATTTCTCATTATTTTCCATGCCTCCCACACATGCATGGCCCTTCCCATTGTTAGTATTTTCCACCAAACTGTTACATTTTTTACAACTGATGAACCTACGTTGACACGTCATAATCATTCAAAGTTCATAGTTGCCATCAGGCTTCATTCTTAATACTGTACATTCTGTGAATTTGGACAAATGTATAATGACATGTATCTATTACTTTAATATGATAGACCGAACATTTTCACTGCCCTAAAAATTCTCAATACTATGCCTGTTCATCTCTCCCTTTCTTCCTAGCAACTCCAACCACTGTTCTTTTCTATCTTCATAGTTTTATTTTTTTCAGAAGAGTCATAGTTGAAATAATACAATGGATATATTTTTCACTAGTTAAAAAGTTAAAGTTCTATGGTAATTGAATGTAGTCATTTAAGATATACTTTGTTCTTTTGTTTTTCTTTTTGTCATAAGATCTGATGACATGTGCTTTGCATATTTAGAAAACATGATTTGTGTAGATATTTGCCACATAATGGAAAGGGCTGAGGAAAATGACACCATGCATTACCACACAGTACACACTGGAGCATCTTGGTTTATGGGGTGGGTTTAGATAGACTCTCTGTTCCTTGGAAGGGAACAAGTTCGAGAGGTTGTACTTTATAAAACTGGAATCACAAATTCTTCCATATGTACTTTCAGTTGGAAATAAGACCAGGCAGTGAATGCTATAGGTAAATACCCACGATCCTCGCTGATCTCTTCATTTGAGGGATGAGTCTGAAAACAGTCTGTATTATGGTGACATGACTCACCTATGACTAGATTCTCTGTCATGAGGAATGGAAAGGAAATCACACAATTTTGCTTTATATGAGGTTTAAAAAGAATTTTTTTCTCCTGCTAGGGAGAGGGAAAAGCATTGGCACAATCTAGCAGAAAGAGGGCATTGGTAGTTTTCTTTCTATAAATCTTCCATATCAGATAGTACTGCCTGTGGCCTGCCACACCTCCCCAGTGTTTCTTAAGCTTCTCTCTGAATGTGAGGTGTGATTCGGAGTGGATAAGCTCTTAAAGGAGTGATCTTTCCAGTGGTTCTTTCTGTGGGAGGTAAAATGGCAGGTGAATTTGGGCCTTGTTATACGTAGAGCTGAGCATATAGCTACAACTAAGTAAACCACCCAGCACCTTCCCTAGAAGAGTATTAGCCAGAGTAACACAGTGATCTCTCTTGAGCTCTCCAGTGGCAGCTGGAAGGTTTTTGCTAGGATTCTTGTTTCTGGTCTGATTCCTATGTTTTGCTGGCTTCTGGTGATAAGTCGTTTTATCCTAACCTGAACAATTTTAACTGCAGAGCTAGGGAGGCTGTGTTGTGTTCATCAAAATAAGTGCAGTAGTTCGGCCGGGCGCGGTGGCTCAAGCCTGTAATCCCAGCACTTTGGGAGGCCGAGGCGGGTGGATCACGAGGTCGAGATCGAGACCATCCTGGTCAACATGGTGAAACCCCGTCTCTACTAAAAAAATACAAAAAATTAGCTGGGCATGGTGGCACGTGCCTGTAATCCCAGCTACTAAGGAGGCTGAGGCAGGAGAATTGCCTGAACCCTGGAGGCGGAGGTTGCGGTGAGCCGAGGTCGCGCCATTGCACTCTAGCCGAGAGTGAAACTCCGTCTCAAAAAAAAAAAAAAAAAGGTGCAGTAGTTCCCCCTTAAATGTAGGAGATACATTTCAAGACTCCCAATAAATGCCTGAAACCACAAATAGTACTAAATCGCATGCCATTTTTTTCTACATATATATATATATCTATGCTAGCATTTAATTTATAAATTAGGCACAGTAAGAAATTAACAACAACTCAGTGTAAGATATATTTTTATGGTTCTCACCCTTTTTTCCGTGATGATATGAAGTAATACAATGCCTGTGTAATGAGATGAAGTGAGGTGAATGAGGTAGGCATTGTAATGCAGTGTTAGGCCACTATGCATCCCCTGAATCTAAGTCAGAAAAAAGATCATGAGCTGTGAGTGACCGTGGATCTTCAGGCTTTAATGGTGTTGATGGCTGGCAACAGAAGGAGACCGTGTTGATGACTAATGGGTGAACAGCATAAGCAGTGTGGATGTACTGAACAAAGGGCTAATTCACATCCTGGTCTGCATGGAGGGGCTCAAGGTTTCATAGCACTTCCCAGAATGGCACACTAAAACTTATGACATGTTTATTTCTGAAGTTTTTCATGTGATCTTTTGGGCATACAGTTGACTATTAGCTGTAACCACAGAAATCAAAACTGCAAATGTAAAATCTGTGTTTGGACATTGACTCATTTCTTGGTGTACAGTTCTTAAAATCATTAGAAATTCCAAACTGATGTCTTTTTGTATGCTAATGATTGATGGCTGGTAGCCCCTATGTAGATTCAGGATGGCAACTGGTCATTATCGTGAAGACATTGATTAGAGGGTTGAGATCCCCTGTCTGTCTCTGCAGATTCTGGGGTGAAGAGAAAGCCTGAAGGTTTTCAATCACCAACAGCCAGTGATTTACTTAATCAGTGGTGCATATGTAATAAAGCTTTCATAAAGACCCAAAGGGACTGGGCTTAGAGAGCTTCCAGTTTGCTGAATACATTTAGATTCCTGGAGGATGGTGTGTCCTGGGAGGGCATGTAATCTTCATCCCACTTCCCCCACACTTTGCACTGTGCATCTGTTCATCTGTACCTTTTGTAATGGCATTCATAGCAAACTGGTAAATGTGTTTCCCTGAGTACTTTGAGCCATTCCAGCAATTCAATTTAACCTAAAGAGGGAGTCCTGGGAACCTCAACTGAACCGCAAATTGAAGCCGATTGGTCAGAAGTTCTGGAGTTTCAGACTTAGGACTGATGTAGGGAGGCAGTCTCATGGGACTGAGCCCTTTACCCGTGGAATCTGATGCTATCTGCAGACAGTGTGAGAACTGAATTAGAGGACACCCAGCCTGTGTCATCTGCAGAAATGATTGCTTGCTTGTTGGTGGGAAAAAACCTTCCCCACATTTGATCATGGAAGCCTTCTTTGTTGATGATTGTTTCTGTGGTGTGAGAGGAGAGAAAAACATGGCAAGTATGTCTTTTCCACACTTGTCATGGATAAGGGAACTACTGTATACTCTGTTTTAACTGCCCTTCATATTTTGGTTCAGAAATCTTGCTCTTTGACACCAGTCACTCATCATGCCTGTTCTGATAACAATATCATTTTCAGCCAATTTCATTTGGTTTGGCTAGGATGACTTGTATACTGCAGTTCACTTGTAGATATCAAATTTTGATAAATTTATTCTTTGCATTTAATACAGACTAAGGGAAGTAAGAGTTCTTACTGCATGAATCACATACCAGTAGGTATAATTTATATTAATTCTAATAAGGTCTCAGGTGTGCTCCCAAAAGAATGCTTTGTAACAAAGCGTCAGTCCCATACTTTAAAGAAAAATGGTCTAAAGCATGCACACAAGTGTGCATAATTTTTTTTTATGAAGGTAGAGTCTTGCTATGTTTTCCAAACTGGTCTCAAACTTCTGGGTTTCTCAAGTGACCCTCCTGCCTCAGTCTCCCAAGTAGTTGAGATTTCAGGCATGCATGACTGTGCCTTCTTATGTTTTCAATATTCTATATATTTGTTATTGATTTACAATGCATTTTATCTTTTCCTTTAATAGATCCTGGGAGTTCTGATGAATCTGCAGTTAGGTAGGATTTTACAGATTTGAAAAATTATATTAACTAAGGAAATATAGATGGAAGAAACTAATATCTGTTGAGTGTTGTATTCTGGGCTAACCACCCTATTATGTGCTATGCATTTATCTCATAAAGCCACCACAGCATCTGTGTTCTTATGACCTACTGTTTATTAAATAGGCAACTGTGGTTTGGAGAGGTTTATTAATTGGCTCATGACCCCATAGTTAACAAAGTAGCTGATTCACAGTTAAACCATCAACTGCCTGGCTTCCAAATCTTTCTTTTGCTCCTCAGCATAGATGGATAAAGATCTGTGCAGCAACTGGATCAAGATATATGTTAGAATCAGATTAATGAATATAGTCAAATCTAGTTATATGTTAACTCTCATTTAAGGCTATTGTTAGACATGATATTGGTCTAACAGTTTGTCCTAGTAAATTTGACAATTTCAGTGGTAACAAATATCTTATCTTTACCATCAAAGGCTTTATCTTTACCTTAAAAGGCAGTGTAAAGGTTTGGCCATAGGACTGTAAATTTTACAAAACAAAATTAGACAAGTCTTAGAGAGAAATTACTTGACTTCCCAGTTTGGTTTTCCCTTTAGGCTAATATTTTTGCCTACTTCCACGATACTTTTCTTTAGTCCTTTTTTCTTTTTCCATGACATTTCTGTAACCTTCTCTTGATGTTTTAAAGTGTTCTTCTCTGCTTTTGGTGTTTCTTTTGTTCTATTATTTTTTCAAATTCTGCTGGCTATGTATCCCCAATTCTCTTATAGACAATCAAAAGCATGCAGAATTTCAGAATTTTAAGGAATCACAGGACTAATTAAAATAACCTCTAGTACTTCAACATGCATTAAACATTCTGGTCAAGTGTTTTTCTAGATAGAGAACCTGAGACTCAAATAGATTAGGATAGTTTTCTTTTTGGACATAGGAAGTGGCAGAAATGAGATTTAAACTCATTTTAAAACCCAGTACTCGCCCTTCTTTTTTAATTTTATGGGCATGTTGTTGTTGTTGACAGAGTCTTGCTCTCTCACCCAAGCTTGAGTGCAGTGGTGCAGTCTAGGCTCACCGCAACCTCTGCTGCCTGAGTTGGAGCAATTCTCCTGCCTCAGCCTCCCAAATAGCTGGGATTACAGCCACTCCATGGTGGCTCACACCTGTAATCCCAGAATTTTGGGAGGCTGAGGTAGGCGGATTAGGGCGTCAAGAGATCCAGATCACGTTCCTTCTCTCTTCCTCGGCGCTGCCTATGGAGGTAGCAGCGATCTGCTCCTCGGCATCATGGCCGCCCTTAGACCCCTTGTGAAACCCAAGATCGTCAAAAAGAGAACCAAGAAGTTCATCCAGCACCAGTCAGACCGACACGTCAAAATTAAGCGTAACTGGCGGAAACCCAGAGGTATTGACAACAGGGTTCGTAGAAGGTTCAAGGGCCAGATCTTGATGCCTAACATTGGTTATGGGAGCAACAAGAAAACAAAGCACATGCTGCCCAGTGGCTTCCGGAAGTTCCTGGTCCACAACATCAAGGAGCTGGAAGTGCTGCTGATGTGCAACAAATCTTACTGTGCTGAGATCGCTCACAATGTTTCCTCCAAGAACCGCAAAGCCATTGTGGAAAGAGCTGCCCAGCTGGCCCTCAGAGTCACCAACCCCAATGCCAGGCTGCGCAGTGAAGAAAATGAGTAGACAGCTTATGTGCACATTTTGTGTTTAAATAAAACTGGCATCTTCCTTAAATAAAAAAAAAAAAAAAAAAAAAAAGAGATCCAGATCATCCTGGGCAAAGTGGTGAAAATCAGTCTACTAAAAATACAAAACAAATTAGCTGGGCGTGGTGGCAGGCGCCTGTAGTCCCAGCTACTTGGGAGGCTGAGGCAGAAAAATTGCTTGAACATGGGAGGCGGAGGTTGCAGTGAGCCGAGATGACGCCATTGCACTCTAGCTTGGTGACAGAGCGAGACTCTGTTTCAGATGATGATGATGATGACGATGACGATGACGACGACGATGATGACACAAAGGGGGAGTGAGTCTGGTGTACCCAGTGGATAGAATGAAAAATAAATTAACTGTTAAACCCAATGGCAGTGGCTAAGAATGGAATGAGCAGGGGAAGGCCAAGTTTGAGGAGAAGCAATACTTTATTGGATAGGAGTGCAAATTCTTCAGTAAGAGATCAGAATATTGGAGTTTATAACAAGTTTAATAAAGATAAATTACAAAGATGAAGAACACAAGATGTTGGGAATTTACAAAGGCACATTAAAATAGAGAGTTCAAGGGAGCTTTAAACACGTTGCTGCATTTTTTAAAATCAATAACTGACAAACTTGAAGGTTTTTACTGAAAGATGCTAAAACATTTTGAGACACTGGAGTCTCTACAGCAGATAGAAATGTGGTATCACGTGCTTCCATTGTGACTTACAGAGGGGTGGCTTAGAGCTTCTTGAGTACTAGGGGCTGGAGATTGCTGAACTATATAGATCTGTAGCCCAGGGCAGGTGCCTCCTCACCTCTGCTTCTTTTCATAATTCACTGATTGACTTCTAATGTTCATGTAGGCTGGGTCGGGGGCATGGTTGACTGGCCAGTCATGAAGTTCAGTTGGGAAATTGGAGGTGTGTCTATGCCGGGGCAGTTGATGGAGACTCCCGTTAACTTGTTATTCAGGAGCAGGGATGTAGAGAGCCACTTCTGGTCATTTGAGGCCATCCTTTCAGGAATCTGTGCTTTCATAGATTGAAGATTTGAATATTGGAGGCTGCCATGGAGCCCTGCACAAGGGGAATCTGGAGCCCATAGGAAGAAAGACATTTAGATAGTACTTAGGGAAATAGAAGTACAACTACCAGGACTCTGTTTTTCCAGCAGTCTCTCTTCTTGGATATTTTTTTTTTTTTTTTTTTTTTTTTTTTTTTTTTTTTTTTTTTTTTTTTTTTTTTTTTTTTTTTTTTTTTTTTTTTTTTTTTGAGAGGGAGTCTTGCTCCACCACCCAGGCTGGAGTGCAGTGGCATGATCTTGGCTCACCACAACCTCTGCCTCCAGGGTTCAAACATAACAGCCTCCCTCGTAGCTGAAATTACAGGTGTTTGCCACCACACCTGACTAATGTTTGCATTTTTAGTGGAAACGGGGTTTCACCATGTTGGCCAGGCTGGTCTTGAGCTCCTGACCTCAAGTGATCTGCTCCCCTCAGCCTCCCAAAGAGCTGGGATTTTAGGCATGAGCCACCATGCTCGACCCTACCTGTGAGGGATTTAAGGGCTTCCTAGTTAATGTGGACCTGAAAAAGGTAGGACATATAGACTAAGTATAATTGAATTTTTATTACTGTTAATGTGTTACTCTTTCTGGAAAGAGTATTCTAAAAGAGAACATACCCCTTTGTTTTTAGAGTTTTGTGCACTTAGCATTCACAAGTTTCAAATATTGCAGGTGATTCCCCATAATGTTTTGGGACAAAGGAAATCAATGGGACCTTCTTAAGTGGTTTCTATGCTGAGGAATCAAGACTGCCAATTTGAAGTGACACAGATTAGTCTTTTAACCAGAGATAGCTAATGGACAAGAAATGGTGGATCTTTCTGCCTTGTTTTAGGTCATCAGGTTTCTTCCAGTTTAGGTAACAAAAATTACATCATTTATTAGTTGAATTTTAAGTACAATTCAGGATAGATAATATGTCAGGGTAAATTAGCATCAGGCTCTGGTATATATTGGCTGTCAATATTTGTTATGGAGCTCAAGGTCAGTTTTCATTGACTATTGTATACATTTAGACAGATAGAGGTGTAAAAATAGGTAACCAAAATCTATTTTTAGAACAGAGGCCATATTTTAATTATATCAAGAAACACTATTTAATGTACAGATAGCTGACCCTTTCCCAGATTGTGTTTTGGTTTTTTGAAGGGAGAAGCTGAATATGAGCTGGCAGCTAAAAAATTTGTAAAGAAATCAACTCGCTCATTTTCATTGTACATTTTTTCTCTAAAGCATTGTCCACAAACTGTGTGTTGATTCATGCCCTAAGCCAGATGTTGACGACTTGACTGTTACCACCAAGGTAAAGTGGCCTCTTGTAAAATTAATTTTCTCAGTCAAGTTTTGCATATTATTTACTTTTAAAATCTAGCAGTAGTTTATCTATCTTTTTTTAATGTTGGTAATAAAAAGTTGGTCAGACAAAAGCATAGACATGGCTAACTGATTTTAAAAATTTGTTTAACCTTGTTAACTAACAAAAGATTGATTAAGTACTGTGGCAGGGTAGGGACTGAAAGAAAATGAACTGGAAAATACATAGTGGCAGGAAAATCACATTAGAAAATGCTTTCCTCAATAAAGCAAATATAAAATTTGGTTAAGGTCTATTTGGATACACATTAATATTGGCTATATAAATTTTTTTTCTTTTTTAAAGATGGGGTTTCACCATGTTGGTCAGGCTGGTCTTGAACTCCCGACCTCAGGTGATCTGCCCACCTTGGCCTCCAAAGTGCTTGGATTACAGGTGTAAGCCGCCACGCCCGGCCTAATATTGGCTTTTAAATCATACTAGTGTTACTTTCATAATTATGCCTGTATAAATCTTCAGTGAATCAAATTACTTGTAGTTATCATGGAATCTCCCTGGTACTTTTTATTGGCAAAACTGTACAGCACATAGCATATACCTTTTTCTGGACACTTATTATTTTGGTATCATATAGTTTTTAGGAGAGATTTTTTTTTCTACTTCTATTACTACTTCTGTAGTGAGACTAAAATAATGTTAAAACTTGTAGAAAACTAGCTGAGTATGGTGGTGTACGCCTGTAGTCACAGATACTTGGGGGTTTGAGGCAGGAGGATTGCTTGAGCCCAGGATTCTGAGAACAGCCTGGGCAACGTAGCCAGATTGTATCTGCTTTAAAAATAGAAATTGTTGAAATGTAGAAATTTACATTTATGTTACCAAACTTTGTATTACAAATGGATTTTTGTGTGTTTTATTAGTTGTCCATAAAGGGTATATGTAAAACACTTCATCTAATGAATAACATGTATTTTACTGTGAATAACAAGTTATATAAGCAGACTCTTAATACCAATATGGTAAGACTTTAACACCATAATTTTGTCATTGTAGTTTATTTAAAATATCCACTCAAAGTCTTTATATTCAGAAATTTAAAATTTCAGAATTTTTATATTTAGTTGTTTAAATAATCACTTGAAGTTTCTGCATACTACGAGCTACTGGAAGTCATAGACATATTTGTGTGTATCCTGGAGTACCTGGAATACAGTCTTCCATGTAAGAAGCATTGTACTTGTTGCTTTTTTGAGATGAAGTTTCACTCTGTCACCCAGGTTGGAGTGCAGTGGTGGGATCTTGGCTCACTGCAGTCTCCACTTTCTGGGCTCAGGTGACCCTCCCACCTCAGCCATCCAAGTAGCTGGGACTGTAGACCTTTGTCACCATGCTTGGCTGAGTTTTGTACTTTTTGTAGAGATGGGGTTTTGCCTTGTTGCTCAGGCTGGCCTTTCACTGTTGGACTCACGTGATATGCCCACCTCAGCCTCTCAAAGTGCTGGGGTTACAGGCATGAGTTGCCACATTCAGCCTTAATAGTTGTTTAATCTGAATAAATAGATGAATGAATTTTTATATAATGGAATGTCATAAGTAATATACATAATGTATCTATTGATTAAATGCTACAGTTAAAAATATTGCTTACATTTGTATTATTTTTTAATGTTTAAAGATGTATAAGTTTTGATGGGTTATTTTGAGAAATTATGCCATAAATAAAAAAGAAATAAATTAGAAATAGGTCATTAATAGCAAAGAGGGTTATAATATATTTTCCAGTATAATTCAACTGGAATCTTAGATGATGATTTTAGACTAAAATTTCTTAAACATTTTCTTAGCCCCAACTCATGCTCTAATAAATATGCCTTTACAAGCCATGCATTACTCTTTTATTTTTTTCCCCTTAATGCCACTAATAAGCTAACATGCATTACTCTTTAGAATTCTGGTGACCAATTCTTCCTCTAGGTGGAAAGTTGATGGAAAGTTCTAGTTTTTCCTCTCTGCAATAATAATGGTCTTTCAGGTAGTGGCAGATGACCATGGTTAGCTAATTGAATGTTTTATAGTAATAAAATTAAACTCTGTATCACAGAAATATTTTTTAAAAACTAATTGAAGCATAAGTATTAACCTGTATTATTAGGGCTATAAAGGAATAAAAGGTTCAGTTACATGTCTATTTCTCCATGTACTTTATGGTACATCATGTTGTTTCTTTTCTCCCTTGGCTAAAGCTCATATTAAATTGACTAGTTAGGCTTCTTTGTTGTTTCTCCTTTCATCCTCACATTTTAAAAATGATTTATTCCCACCTAATTTTTTTTCTCACAGATCTCATTTCTTTAGTGACTGGTCGGTCAGTCCATCTGTGTCTTCATAGTCAGCATATTTAGTTAGAGCTTTCTCTTTAGTTATCTATGTGTGGCTTTCATTCAACAATTATTGCCCACAAGATTTACTCTTGCTTTTTTCCTTCTCTTTGGAAGAGCTGAATTTATACATTTATCTTTATCTTTTTGACAAACAGAATAAAAGCAACTAATACTATTTGCAATGCCAACCCACTTAAATAGGGTATCACTGTAAACTAAATTCTCATTTTCCCCCACAAGAAGTGATTTATGCAAATAATTACCTCCTGCATATGCCCATAATGAATTATTTTCTCATGTTTTTGAGCTCATAATTGATAAAGTATTTCTGTGCTAAGTAAATTACTGCTTCATAGTATAATTCTGCTAATTTGCATGATTCATGTAAGAAGCTAGTATAGTGCCAGAAAAATAAAGCTTAGAATGTGCAAAAAATCACTTTATGTTCTGAAAATAAGCTTATATAAAATCTAAATAATTATTTCAGGTTAAGCTGTGGCCAAATGTATCACTCTATATTATATCTGGATGTGCAAAATCATAAGGAGAGTTAGAAACAGTTTGAGTTGTAGTTTTTATTGAAATTGGAACTTGAAAAGATATGCTGAGATTTTAATATGTTTATATATTTTGATTGTCCAATATAGATCTACAACAAACATTTTAAGTTAAGAAAAAAACATGGGGAGTAGTAACTATGTGGGGCTGTAATAACAACAATTTTGTTTAGTGTTGTAGTAAGTAGAAGTCATTTTCAAAAAGAGAACGCACTGAGTACTTTTGTGGCAGCCACACTTATGGCAGCAGAAGTATAAAATAATAATTGTGTATTCTAATGTTATGACTGCGGAGAGAAATGGGTGGGGCCTGACTTTTCACTAGAAGCAGCTGGTGCATAGTTTTGCCAGCACCAAGTAGAAGTCAAAAGACATGTTAGCATCCTGGTTCTGCCACTTACTAGGTACAGGACCTTGGGAAAAATTCTTTATTGTTTTGTTATTGACTTCGTTCATAAGAATGGTACTAATGGTACCTCTCAGGTATGTGTAATGAACAAAAGTAGTGGGAAATGTAAAATCATTTGTAAACTGGAAAATACGTTTACAAATGTGAGACAAAATGATCACAGCAGTATTCAGTGACTTAGTAAATCTCGAGAAAAATTTTTGTAAACCTGAAGGATGATAAAATGGCAGTAACATCAAAAGAAGAATGGGAAAGTAGGAAATGGCATGTGGGTTTTAAATCTGGGGTAGGGGTGTGTTCAGTTTTGGCAGGCTACTAGGACTGAAGATGTCCTGTAGGAACATAGCGGTTTGGCACGAGACTTTCTGATAAAATTTTAAGTGTTTTGACTTCGAATTTATTTTGGTTATAGCTCACAAACTGTGCTAGTCAATGAGACACTGAATATACAAGATGAGATCTTATGCTATAGTATCAGGAACAGAAAAAGAAAGAAAGAGCAAATACTTTTCACTATAAAGGCTTTCTAAAAAGAAAATAGAAAATGTTAGAAGATATGAAGGAAGTTTTTAGTTAGGATGGGAATGGGAGAGGAATGAAAATCTGTGTTCAGAGAAGACTTCTTTGAGTATGATATTTAAGCTGCCAACTAAAGGATGAGAAAGAGCCAGCCATGTGAAAGTCTAAGAGGAGGAAATTCTGAATGGAGAGAACAGAGGATCACATCTATTCATTTTGCTCTTAACACCCTGGAATGAGCAGAAAGCCATCATCATAACTATTTTTTATGATTACAGTGTGTACAACAAATGTGAAATTGAATGCTGGCACATTTTAGATGCTTCCTAAATAAATGTTCTTTTTCTTTTTTTTTTCCTTTTAAAGAAAGCTGGCTACACTTTTGAAGTTTGTTCTTTCTTTCTCTCTCTCTCTTTCTTTTCTTTCTTTCTCTTCCTTTTCTTTTCTTTTCTTTTCTTCTCTTTCTTTAACAGGGTCTCACTTTGTTGCCTGTGCAAAAGTGCAGCAGTGCAATTTCAGCTCCCTGTAGCCTTGACCTTCCAGGGCAATGTGATCCTTCCATCTCAGTCTTCTGAGTGTCTGGGATTACAGGCATGCACCACCATGCCCAGCTAATTTATGTGTCTTTTGCACAGATGGGGTTTGACCATTTTTCCCAGGCTGGTTTCAAACTCCTGGCCTCAAGCAATCCACCCACCGAGGCTTCCCAAAATCTTAAGATAAAAGGTGTGATCCACTGTCCCTGGCCTGATGAATGCAGCCAATCACCATGGCACGTGTATACCTACGTAACAAGCCTGCATGTTCTGCACATGTACCCCACAACTTAAAGTATAATACAAAAATAAATAAAACTGTGGCACAGTTGATCACATATTTGCTTGCTTTTATTTAAATATAACATAAAAATTTTATTACTACGTTATCATTCTATTCAAACTTTTTTTTTCTATCAGTAAAGATTTTATCAAAAAATATGTAGGTGTTTTCAAATGTTTGTTTCCCTAAATGAAGCATCTTCTATGGTGTTCTATTGATGCTCAATATTACATATTTCCAAGTTTTCTATCATAAATATCTTAACACTGAAATTTTTCTATGAGGATATTTAAAATTTTTAATATTGTAAATATTATACCAAGTAATAGATATATTTTTATATATTATATATTATATATATTTATATATTATATATTATATAATACAAACATTTATATATTATGTATAACATGTATTATATATAATATATAATACATATTATATAATACATATATATATAATATGTATTATATATATAATATACATATGTGTGTTTGTGTGTATATGTAAGTTTTTGAGATGGAGTCTTGCTCTTTCACCCAAGCTAGAGTGCAGTGGTGCAATCTCCGCTCACTGCGACCTCCACCTTCTGGCTTTAAGCAACTCTTTTGTCTCAACCTCCCAAGTAGCTGAGACTACAAGTGCACACCACCAATCCAGGCTAATTTTGCATTTTTGGTAGAGACAGGGTATCACTGTGTTGGTCAGGCTGCTGTCAAACTTCTGGCCTCAGGTGATCCACCCGCCTCAGCCTGCCAAAGTGCTGTAATTACAAACATGAGCAAACGCACCTGGCCAATATATATATATATATTTTTGAAACAGAGTCTTGCTTTGTCACCAGGCACCAGGCTGGAGTGCAGTGGCACAATCTAGGCTCACTGCAGCCTCCGCCTCCCGGGCTCAAGTAATTTTCCTGCCTCAGCCTCCCACGTAGCTGGGTCTACAGGTGTGTGCCACCTCGCCCAGCAAATTTTTCATTTTTTAGTAGAGACGGGGTTTCACCATGTTGGCCAGGATGGTCTTGATCTCTCGACCTCGTGATACGCCCCCCTCAGCCTCCCCAAGTGTTGGGATTACAGGCGTGAGCCACCGCGCTCGGCTGCCAATATGTATTTTTTAAATGTTTTCTTATATTTGGTGGAGTTTGCAAAGTAGAGTTAGGTACTTTGAAGCTAGTTCCTGAATGAAATATGCACATGCTAATATTTTGTCTGTGAATATGTTTCCTTTGGGCTGCCATGCTCGGATAAGTAAGTCAATGGACATATGAAGATAACAGATGAGCCTGATCTAGAAACTGTAGATGACATTCTCTACTGGAATGCTTTGGTTTACAGTACTTCTCTTATTTTATAAGTCAAATTAGTTTTAAAATACTAAATTGAAACTTCTGGGGAGACAGAGTCTTGCTCTGTTGCCTAGGCTGGAGTGCAGTGGCATGATCTTGGCTCGCTACAGTCTCCACTTCCCAGGCTCAAGTAATCCTCCCACATCAGCGTCCGAAGTAGCTGGGACTACAGGCACACACAACAATGCCTTTTTTTTTTTTTTTTTTTTTTTTTTTTTTTTTGTAGAGATAGGTTCTCATTATGTTGCCCAAGCTCGTCTTGAACTCCAAGCTCAAGCAATCTACCTACCTTGGTTTTGCAAAGGGCTGGGATTCTAAGAGTGAGCCACCAAGCTTGGGTAAACTGAGATTTATTTAAGTAAATTGATTAGTGCCGGATGTGGCGGTGCACACTGGTTATCTCAACACTTTGAGAGGCAGAAGTGAAAGGATTACTTAAGACCAGGAGTTTGAGCCAGGTGTGGTGGCTCATGCCTATAATCCCAGCACTTTGGGAGGCTGAGGTGGGTGGATCATGAGGTCAAGAGATGGAGACCATCCTGATCAACATGGTGAAATACCATTTCTACTAAAACACAAAACAAATTAGCGGGGTGTTTGAGATTGCAATGAGCCATAATCATGCCACTACATTCCAACCTTTGATGACAGAGTGAGACCCTGTTTAAAAAAAAAAAAGAAAGAAAATTGATAAGAAAGTCTTTATGCAACTCATTATAATTTTTTAAACAGAAACTCATGTTTGATGTTACCTCAACAGTGTGTCCGCAAGAAAATGTCAGAGCCTTTACCTAGACCTTCCAATGGGAAAAATATATATAGTCAATGTAAAAGGAGAAGGTAAGAATACTATTTTATTTAAAAAGTCATTTGATAGAATGTTTTCTTTTTTTAAATATGAGCACTAATATATTCAAATAGCTAAAGAAAATGTTCTCTTAAATGCATATTAAGTAAAGGAGAAGTAAAATGGTGACAAGTTGTATATCTAATCAGGGCTCAGCAGTTCAGTCTATTGAGAGTAACACCAAAGGAGCAGAATTATTAGTTCCCATTTTAAGATACTCTAAGATCTGAGGCAAGTCAGGAAAGAGGGAAGAGGAAATGAATAAGAGAGAATGAATGTGGAGGGCAGAGTATACATGGAATAAATGAAGAAACAGTATGTGGGTGTATGTAAAGGAGGATAGTAAAGTCAAATTGATTTGTAGAAGAAGGAAGAGCAGGGTGATAGAAATAGGAAAGAAGGTGACATCAGCTTCCAGCCCCAAAATGTGTCAGAGAATTAGAGTCACATCTTCCTGCTCTTGCTGTCATTCTCACTATTGGAGAGGCATTAAGGATTGATGTACCTCACCACACAGACCTGTGTTTTATCTACCATAGACGAATATCACCATAAATGGTCAGCCACGTATGGCCATAATTTAGTTTTATAGAAAATGTTATAACTTCATCGGATAGTATCATATAGACCAAATTAACATAATTGAATAGTGTCATGTGATTTATGGGGAGGAAGTTAGAGAAGGTATAGCCTGATTAAAAGTTTATTAGAAACATTTTGGCTTATAATGCAGAATTAAATTCAGGGACTTCATAGGGAAGAAATTGAGGCTAAGTTCCAGATGGGCAATTAAGGTACACAAATGTGGAAGCACATTAGTGTAGCACAGCACATCCAAATTTTCATGAATTAGTTGAGGAGCTTCTGGAAAACGGACACTCTCATTCAGCAAGTGTGGGATTCTGCCTTTCTCAGGAGTACTCAGATGGTGTTGGTGCTCTTCCTTGGACACAACTCTGAATGACAAGGAAATAGCCTTCCTTTAGAGAAATCTGGAAAAAGAACCATTGGACAGCAATTTAAAAAAGTAACAGAATCAAGGGAAGGCATTAATCTCCTTTTATTTCTGAAGTAGGATTCTAGCCACAGAGGAAGCAGAATGAGATGAAAAAAGAAAGTACTGGTGTACACTACTGCTGAATACAGATGAAAAAAGTGGTCACAATTATCCATAAAAAGCAGTTAGGAAGAGAAGCATCAGGATGACAGATCTAAAGATTACTTTTGCAAGGGAAGAGGGATTGAGGAAGGACAAGGAGGGAGGCAAGAAAGAAGTTTGCTGTGGCACTTGGAAGTTAGAGTCAAGAAAACTTGAGTCGCCTCATTTCTAGTTGCTTCTGCATATGCCCAGTCTCAAAAAGAGGTTTCTGCTGTGGAGAGTACTGGAGGCAGGAGGGAGTGCTAGAATTGGGGTAAACCACAGCAGCTAATTTCTCTTTGTAACTGTCAGGCCTCAAAGCAAGAAGTTTCATTGACATGAGTGAATAAGATATGATTAAGTTGCATTTTGGTTGATGGGGGGGGTGTCAGCCAGTTCTTTGATATGATAGCTGTTTTATAAAAGTCATTTACAGAGTTTGATATGATAGCTGTTTTATAAAAGTCGTTTACAGAGTAAGATGACATGCCAAGCTTAACTAATTTTAGAAACAGTCATATTATAAAATTTATTCTGTGACTACCAAAATTGTCATTTTCTAAGAATACTGCACTGATCTTGAAATATAAAAGTTTATTCTTTTCTATCAAAACTGTGACAATTCAATGTTTTCTGTTTTGGTAAATATTTTGATATTGAAAGCTTATTCTATATGGTTTATTTGACGTGTTTTAAGTCTTGCATGAGTGGATCAAGGACCTCTTAAGGTCAAACAAGAGGATATGAGAAATTTGGGTGCTTCGGTAGCCATGTGGGCATGGGAAAATGAGAATTTTGAGAAACTGTTATTTCATAAGTGTGTATCATAGCTGATCAATTTAGAAGACTTTCTTTGATGAGAGGTGAATCACACATTCACCTGAACTGGCATCCCAACTGTGTATTTCCTAAGTGACAGGACAAGGGGAAGCACACGATAAATATTTGTGGTGTTCTGGCATCAATGCCTCTGATGCTTCGAGGTTAAATACTCTGTAGCATTCACTATCAGCCTTGACACGGATTCTCTCAGGTTATGATTTGCTCCGCTGTTTAATGGTCCCTTTTATCCTTATCAGCCCAACGTGTTCACATTAATATCCATACTTTTATATTTTAGTTATGGCATTTGAAACAATCTCACTTTTGAAATATAAACTTTGTGATTTAGGGATCCTGTATTCCTATTTTACTCAGTATATTTCCATCACGTTGTTGTCCTAGGCAATGAAATGGAGATGCCAAAAAGAACCCTCAAAACCTTAAGTAATTATTTTCTGAGCCAGGCATGAGGACTCAGCTTGATACTAACACTGCATGAATGTTTGGTTGGCCCTGTCATATTTACATATAATTGATGACATGTCCCCTTTGCTTTGTAGGGCCTCCTGAATAACATCCTTCTTTGAAGGTAATTATATGTATTTATTTTTAATTAACTTTATATTGTATAAAATATATATAATTTATTAGTTATTTCTTTTTAAAACTCATTCAGCCTACCACTGAAATGGAAGATCCTGTTGTGAGAGAAGCAGTACAAAGAATGTACAGACATCGAGAGCAGGTACATTTTCAATACAAATGGAATGCTGGAAATAAGTACATGAAATGATTGGAAGTACTCACATTCTTCTTACCCCTAATTCTTTTTATTCTAAATTGAATGAAAGACATTGACATAAATGTTATTGTTGGTATCCATATTTTAATAAAAATAAATTTAGAAGTATAAGAAAACAAGATTTTTAAAATGTGAGTTTTAACTCAGATTGTTTCTATTTTAATATTTTACATAGCATAACATTTCCAATATGGAATTTTTATACTTGTCAGGGATTCAAAGCAGTGAATTTGGAAACTCTGAGATATTTTCAGTGTCTTGTGTGCTAGTTGGAGTTCTGGTATTTACCTAAAGGAATGCTTTACTTAGATGTCAGTTTCTGTATTAACGTTAGAGACTATCTGTTAATGTTATTACACCGATGATCTGAAAGCAATGAGATGTTCTAATGAGCAGACTGTGTATGCATGTGTGTGTGTATGGGTGTGTTTGTGGCATCTTTGGTTATTAAAAACTAGGAAACTAATCATTCATAACTGCAAGACAGTTTTAAAATGGTGATTTTGAGATTTTTTGGTATAAAAGTTTTTTAAAAAAAAATAATTGCATAGAGGCAACCAATGTCATGAACATCATTGAGGCTACCAACATCATTGGCTGTTTTCCATTTCAATACCTTTTTGAAATTCTTAGCTATATTGTGATGCTCAGAAATAACATGCAGAATTTTTATTTGTGTCCTAAAATGGAAGGTGAGTGGTTCTACACTTTATATGTCTTTCTGCCACTTTCTTTTGTGTACTTTGTATTCTATTTTCCAGATGTATCCATATTAATACAATTAGCTCTGGTTTAATTCATTTTACACGTTTCATTGTATTCCCTTATACCACTCTACCACATTTAGTTAGACTCTCCTGTTGCTGATAAATGAAGAAAAAAAAAAAAAAAAAGAAAAATAGGCTGGGCGTGGTGGCTCACACCTGTAATCCCAGCACTTTGGGATGCTGAAGCGGGTGGATCACGCAGTCGGGAGATTGAGACCATCTTGACCAACATGATGAAACCCCATATCTATCAAAATATAAAAAATTAGCTGGATGTGGTGGTGCGTGCCTGTAGTCCCAGCTATTCAGGAGTCTGAGACACAGAAATGGCTTGAACCCAGGAGGTGGAGGTTGCAGTGAGCCAAAATTGTGCCACTGCACTCCAGTCTGGCAGCAGAGCAAGACTCTGTCTCAAACAAAAAAAGAAAAGGAAAAATAATGTCAGATTAAAAGGGGCTTTTGTTTAATCAGTTTGTAACTGTGAATATTTACTATAGGAGAGTTTAAGGCTGAGAAGTTCAGACTGCAAGCATGCACTACCATATTTAACAAATGCCCTTAGAATTATGACTCATGAGCCTTTAGCCTGTGAAGTTATGACAAATTCATTTCTCTAATGAAGTTTACTGTTCTCAAAAAAAAAAAAAAGACTGAAAATAACAAATGACATTCTTATTTGACCTCTTGGACATCCTCGAATGAAACTGCAACTTACTCGTGTCAAAATTTGGAAGCAACGTTTTGAACAATATATATACTTTGTGAATGAGCCCTTGATGATGAAATGGCCTTTCAAGTTTTACTTTTGCATTTTCTGCTCTTTTTCTTGACTTGTCTTACAAAAGCTTAAATTCAAGTTTTATTTCTATAGAAAGCAGGAATATAATTTTTTAATATATTTCTGTCCTGTCTCATGGCATTGTGAACTCTTCAGACCTAGTGTGGACCTAGACTTATTTTTACATGGGAACAATTAGGTTTGTTTCTTTGCTGTGGTTGTTGTTGTTGAGACAGTCTTGTTCTGTGATGTAGTTCAGAGTGGATAAGCTCTTAAAGCAGTAATATTTCTAGTGATTTTTCTGTGGGAGGTAAAATGGCAGGTGAATTTGGGCCTTGTTATTACAAACAAGATTTTATTGTGCTTCTCAGACTGGCAGAGCACATGCTGTGCTGCTCAGTAGGGCAGAGCACATAGCTACAACTAAGTAAAACACCCAGCACCTTGGCCAGAGTAACACATTAATATCTCCTGAGCTCTTCTCCACTGGCAGCTGGAAAGTTTTTGCAAGAATCCCTGTTTCTGGTCTGAATCCTATGTTTTGCTGACTTCTGGTGATAGGGTGCTTTATCCTAAGCTGAACAGTTTTAACTGAAGAGCTAGAGAGAATGTGTTGTGTGACAACAAAGTAAGTGCAGTAGTTCACCCTTAACTGTGGAAGATACATTCAAAGGCCCCCAGTGAATGCCTGAAAGCACAAATAGTACTGAATGACTGGGTTTTTTCCCCTATACTTACATATCTATGATAAAGCTTAATTTATAAATTAGGCACAGTTAGAAATTAACAACTAAAAATAAAATGGAAAATTATGGTAATATGCTGTAATGAAAGTTTTTTGAATGTGGTCTCTTAAATATATGGTATGGTTCTCACCCATTTTCCTGTGATGATGTGAAGTGATGCAGTACCTATGTAATGAGATGAGGTGAGGTGAATGATGTAGTCATTGTCATATAGTGTTAGGTCACTATTCACCCCCTGACTTCAAGTCAGAAAAAAAGATTATCAGCTTTGAGTGTTTCTGGACCTTCAGGCCTTAATGATGTTGATGGCTGGATGCAGGAGGAGACCATGTTGATGACTAATGGCTGGACAGCATATGCAGTGTGAATGCACTGGACAAAGGAATGATTCACATCCTGGGATGGATAGAGGGCAGGAGCTCAAGATTTTATTGTGCTTCTCAGACTGGCACACTAACACTTATGACTAGTTTATTTCTAGAGTTTTTAATGTAATCTGTTTAGAATACAGTTAACTGTTAGTAGCTGTAACCACACAATTCAAAACTGCAGATATAAAGTCTGTGTTTGGACTTTGACTCATTTCTTGGTGTACAATTCTTAAACTCCTTAGAATTTCCACAGTGATGTCTTTTGGTATGCTAATAATCGATGGCTGGAAGCTCTTAGGTAGATTCAGCATGGGAACTGGTACAATCCTGACGACATGGCTGATTAGAGGGTTGAGATCTTCTGTCTCACTCTGCAAATTCTGGAGAGGAGAGAAGGGCTGAAGGTTGTCAGTCACCAACAGCCAGTGATTAATTAGTGATGCCTATGTATTGGAAGTTTTATAAAGACCCAAAGGGACTGGGCTTGAAGAGCTTCCAGATCACTGAATACATGGGGGTTCCTGGAGGGTGCTATGTCCTGAGAGGGCATGGAAATCTCTGTGCCACTAGCCCCATACTTTGCACTATGCATCTGTTCATCTGTACCTTTTGTAATGTCATTCATAGTATACTGGTAAGTGTGTTTCCCTGAGTACTGAGCCATTCCAGCAATTCAATTTAACCCAAAGAGGGAGTCTTGGGAACCAGAATTTGAAGCCGATTGGTCAGAAGTTCTGGAGTTTCAGACTTAGGACTGATGTAGGGAGGCAGTCTCATGGGACTGAGCCCTTTACCTGTGGAATCTGATGCTATCTGCAGACAGAGTGTGAGAACTGAATTAGATGATACCCAGTTTGTGTCGTCTGCAGAAGTGATTGCTCGCTCGTTGGTGGGGAAAACCTCTCCATGTTTGGTCACAGAAGCCTTCTTTGTTGATGATTGTTGCTGTGGTGTGAGAGCAGAGAAAAACATGGCAAATGAGTTGTTTTGTTTTCCACACATATGGTGGATAAGGGGTGCTGTTTACTCTGTTTTAACTGCCCCCCTCATATTTTGGTCCAGAAATCATGCTGTTTGACACTGGTCACTCATTCCATCTGTTCTGCTAACAAACCATTTTCAGCCAATTTCATCGGGTTTGGCTAGGATGACTTGTATACTGCAGTTCACTTGTAGATATCAAATTTTGATAAATTTATTCTTCTTTGCATTTAGTAAGTACAAAGTAAGGGAAGTAAGAGCTCTTACTGCATTAATTACATACCAATAGGTATAATTTATATTGTTCTAATTTATATGTTCCCAAAGGAATACTTTGTAACAAAGCATCAATCCTACAAAGAAAAATAATCTAAATCATGTATACAACTGTGCATACTTTTTTTTTTTTTTTTTAATGAAGGTAGAGTCTTGCTATGCTTCCTGAACTGGTCTCAAACTTCTGGGTTTCTCAGGTGATCCTCCTTCCTCGGCCTCCCAAATAGTTGAAATTACAGGCATGCATCATTGTGCTTTCTTATGGTTTTAATATTCTATACATTATTGATTTAAAATGCATTTTACCTTTTCCTTTAATAGATCCTGGGAGTTCTGATGAATCTGCAGTCAGGTAGGATTTTACAGATTTAAAAAATTATGTTAACTAAGAAAATACAGATGGAAGAAACTATTATCTATTGAGTGTTGTATTCTAGGCTAAATACCCTATTATGTGCTATGCATTTATCTCATAAAGCCATTACAACGTGTTTTCTTATAACCTACTGTTTATTAAATAGGCAAATGTGGTTTAGAGAGGTTGATTAATTGGATCACGATCCCATAGTTCACAAAGTAGCTGACCCACAGTTTGACCGTCAGCCTATCTGGCTTTCATATCTTTTCTCTTACTCCTCAGTACAGATTGATAGAGATATCTGTGCAGTACTTTGATCAAGGTATAGGTCTGAATAAGATTAGTCAGATTATTTTAATGTCTAAATTAATGAGTTTAAATAAGTTAAACTCTCATTTCAGGTTACTGTCAGAAATGAGGTTAGTCCTTGGGTTTGTCCTAATAAATCTGACAATTTTTGTGGTAACCAGCATCTTTTTTTAAATTAACCATCAAAGCCTTTAAGGCACAGTAAAGGTTTGGCCATAGGACTGGAAGTTACACAAAACCAAGATTTAGCAAGTCTTGGAAAGAAATTATTTAACTTCCCAGTTTTGTTTTCCCTGTAGGCTAGTATTTCTGCCTACTTCCATAATGCTTTTTTATTTTTTGTTTTTCTTTTTCCATGACTTTTCTTCCTTGGTGTTTCTTTGGTTTTGAAATTCTGCTGGCTATGTATTCCCAATTTTCCTACAGACAGAACCAAAAGCATACAGAATTACAGAAACTTAAGGAATCTTAGGACAAATTACAATAGCTCTAGTACATCAATCTGTGTTGAATGTTCTGGTCAAATGATTTTCTAGAGAACTTGAGACTCAGAGATTAGGATGCTTTTTTTGGGACATAAGACGTGGTAGAAATGAGATTTGAGCTCACTTTAAAGCCCAATACTCTCCCTTCTTGCTTTATTCTATTGGCATTTTGTTGTCGTTGTTGTTGTTTGAGACAGAGTTTTGCTCCTGTTGCCAGACTGGAGTGCAATAGCACAATCTCGGCTCACTGCAACCTTCGCCTCCTGGGTTCAAGCGATTCTCCTGCCTCAGCCTCCTATCTGGGATTACAGGCATGCGCCACCATGCCCGGATAATTTTGTATTTTTAGTACAGATGGGGTTTCTCCATATTGGTCAGGCTGATCTCGAATTCCTGACCTCAGGTGATCTGCCCGCCTCAGCCTCCCAAAGTGCTGGAATTACAGGGGTGAGTCACCATGCCTGGCCTGGCATGTTTTAATAATACAAAGGGGGAGTGAGTCTGGTGAACCCAGTGGATAGAATGAGAAAGGAATTAGCTGGTGAACCCAATGGAAATGGCTAAGAATGGAATGAGCAGGGGAAGGCCAAGTTTGAAGACAAATGACACTGAATACAGATTATTCAATAAGAGATTAGAATGTTGGGATTTATGACAAGTCTGATAAATTATAAAGATGAAGGACACAAGCTACAAAGGCATATTAAAATAGAGGGTTCAAGGAAGCTCTAAACAGAATGCTGTGCTCTTTTTAAATCAAGAACTGACAAACGAAGATTTTTGCTGTAAGATGCTAAGACATTTGGAGACACTGAGAGCAGTCTCTACCGCAGACAGAAATGTGGTATCACTTAATTCCATCCCGACTTACAGAGAGGTGGCTTAGAGCCCCTTGAGTACTGACGGGCTGGAGATTGCTGAACTACATAGATCTGTGGCCCAGGGCAGGTATCGCCTCGTCTCTGCCTCTTTCCCCAATTCACCGATGTCCTTCCCATATCCATGCAGGCTGGGTCAGGGCATCACTGGCTGTCAAATCAGTCATGAAATTCAGCTGGGTAGTTGGAGGTGTGTCTCTGACGGTAGTTAGTGGCGACTCCAGTTAGGTTGTTATTCAGGAGGAGGCATCTAGAGCACTGCCACTCCTGGTCATTTGAGGCCATCCTTACAGGAGTCTGTGCTTTCATGGACTGAAGATTTGAAGATTGGAAACTGCCATGAAGCCCTGCATAAGTGGAATCTGGGAGTGGGAACCCATAGGAAGAAAGACATTCAGACAGTATTTAGGGAAATAGAGGTACTACTGCCAGAACTGTTTTTCCAGCAGTCTCTCTCGTTGGATATCTGAGTGCCTATGAAGGTTTTTAAGGGCTTACTAGTTTATGTGGACCAGAATAAGGTAGGATCTATAGAGTGAAAATAATTGGATTTTTATAATTGGTAATGTTTTAATCTTTCTGGGAAGAGTATCCTCAATAAGAAAATACACCTTTGTTATTAGACTTTTGTACATTTAGCTCTCACACGTTTCAAATAACAGCAGGGGATTCTCTATACTCTTTTAGGACAAAGGAAAGCTTTGGGACCTTCTTAAGTGGTTTTCATGCTGAGGAACCGACTGCCATTTTGAAGTGACACAGATTGGTCTTTTAACCAGAGATAGATAATGGACAAGAGACAATGGATCTTTCTACCTTGTTTTAGGTCATAATGTTCCTTCCAGTTTAGGTGACAAAAGTTATGTCATCCGTTAATTGAATTTCATGTTCTGCTTCAGGACAGATAATTTGTGAGGGTAAATTATTGTCAAGCTCTGCCAATATATTGGCTGTCACTATTTGTTATGGAGCTCAAGTTCAGTTTTCATTTAATATTTTATAGAATTAGACAGCTGAAGGCAGAAATAGGTAACCAAAATTTATTTTTAGAACAGAGGCCATATTTTAATTGTATCAAGGAATGTTGTTTAATATACAGACGGCTGACCTTTTCACAGATTGTGTTTTTGTTTATTGGAGGGGGAAGCTGAATATGAACTGGCAATTTAAAAATTTGTAAAAAAAAAAAAAAAAAAAAATCAACTTGCTGATTTTTATTGTATATTTTTGCTCTAAAGCATTTTCCAAGAAACTGTGTGTGGATTCATGCCTAAACCAGATGATGAAGACTTGACTGTTACTACCAAGGTAAAGTAGTCTCTTGTAAAATGTTCTCCCAGTCAACTTTTGCATGGTATTTACTTTTTTAAAATTTAGCAGTGGTTTACCTGTAATTGCTTTATGATGGTTATGGAAAGTTGGTCAGAGAAAACCATAGACATATGGCTAGTTGATTAAAAAATTTTATTTAATGTTGGTAACTAACAAAAGATTGATAAGTACTGTGACAGGGTGGGGGCTGAACAAAAATGAACTGGAAGATACATAGCAACAGAAAAATCACCTCAGGAAATGCTTTCCCCAATGGAGAAAATATGAAATTTTGTTAAGGTTTAATTAGAGAAATATTAATACTTTGACTTTTAAACCATACTAGTGTGACATCTGTTTTTGCCAGTATAAATCTTCAGTGGATCAAAATACTTGTGGTAGTTATGGAATCTCCCTGTCACCTTTTAGTTGAAAAAGTGTACAACAAATAGCATATAGCTGTTTTCTTGGACACTCATTATTTGGGTATTACATACTCCGTAGGAGAGATTGTTCCTCTACTTATATTATTGGTTCTGTAGTAAGACTAAAATACTAAAACTTGTGTGAAAAATAGCTGGGTGTGGTGATATGTACCTATAGTCCCAGCTACTTGGGACTTTGAGGTTGCCTGAACCCAGGAGTTTGAGAACCACCTGGGCAGCATAACAAGACTGCATCTGATTGATTTTTTAAAATTATACTAAGTTCTGGGCTACATATGCAGAACGTGCAGGTTTGTTACACGGGTATACACGTCCTATCGTGGTTTGCTGCATCCATCCCCCATCATCTACATTAGGCATTTCTCCTAATGTTAACCCTCCCCAATCTCTCCACCCCCTGCTATCCCTCCCTTTTCCCCCTCTCCTCCCAACAGGCCCTGGTGTGTGATGTTCCCCTCCCTGTGTCCCAGTGTTCTTATTGTTCAACACCCACTTATGAGTGAGAACATACAGTGTTTGGTTTTCTGTTCTTGTTTTCTGAGAATGATGGTTTCCAGTTTCATTCATGTACCTGCAAAGGACATGAACTGACCCTTTTTTATGGCTGCATAGCATTCCATGGTGCATAGATGCCACATTTTCTTTATCCAGTCTATCATTGATGGGCATTTTGGGTTGGTTCCAAGTCTTTGTTAAACACTGCTGTAATAAACATATATGTGCATGTGTCTTTATAATGATTTATAAACCTTTGGGTACATACCCAGTAATGGGTTTGCTGGGTCAAATGGTATTTCTAGTTCTATATCTCTGAGGAATTGCTACACTGTCTTCCACAGTGGCTGAACTAATTTACACTCCCACCAACAATGTAAAAGTGTTCCTATTTCTACACATACTCTCCAGCATCTGTTGTCTCCAGATTTTTTAATGATCACCATTCTAACTGGTATGAGATGGTATCTTCATGTGATTTTGATTTGCATTTCTCTGACTGATGATGATGAGCTTTTTTTCATGTTTGTTGGCTGCATCAATGTCTTCTTTTGAGAAGCGTGTTCATTTCCTTTGCCCACTTTTTGATGGGGTTGTTTTTTCATGTAAATTTGTTTAATTTCTTTCTAGATTCTGGATATTAGCCCTTTGTCAGATGGGTAGATTGCAAAAATTTTTTCCCATTCTGTTGGTTGCTGGTTCACTCTAATGATTGTTTCTTTTGCTGTGCAGAAGCTCTTAAATTTAATTAGATCCCACTTGTCTATTTTGGCCTTTGTTGCCATTGCTTTTGGTATTTTACTCGTGAAGTCCTTGCCTATGCCTATGTCTTGAATGGTATTGCTAGGTTGTCTTCTAGGGTTTTTATGGTATTAGGTCTTATGTTTAAATCTTTAATCCATCTGGAGTTAATTTGTATATAAGGTGTAAGGAAGGGATGCAGTTTCAGCTTTCTGCAGATGGCTAGCCAGTTTTCCCAACACCATTTATTAAATAGGGAAACCTTTCCCCATTGCTTGTTTTTGTCAGGTTTGTCAAAGATCAGATGGTTATAGATGTGTGGCGTTAATTCTGAGGACTCTCTTCTATTCCATTGGTCTATATCTCTGTTTTGGTATCAGTATCATGCTATTTTGATTACTGTAGCCTTGTAGCATAGTTTGCAGTCAGGTAGAATGATGCCTCTAGCTTTGTTTTTGTTCTTGTTTGTTTGTTTTGCTTAGGATTGTCTTGGCTATGCGGGCTCTCTTTTGGTTCCATATGAAGTTTAAAGTAGTTTTCCAATTTTGTGAAGAAAGTCTGTGTAGCTTGGTGGGGTAGCATTGAATGTATAAATTATTTTGGGCAGTACAGCCATTTTCACAATATTGATTCTTCCTAACCATAAGCATGGAATGTTTTTGCATCTGTTTGTATCCTCTCTTATTTCCCTGAGCAATGGTTTGTAGTTCTCCTTCAAGAGGTCATTTCAACCCTTGTTAGATGTATTCCTAAATATTTTACTCTCTTTATAGCAATTGTGAATGGGAGTTCACTCATGATTTGGCTGTTATTGGTGTATAAGAATGCTTGTGACTTTTCTTAGACTGCTGAAGTTGCTTATCAACTTAAGGAGATTTTGGGCTGAGACGATGCGGTCTTCTGAATACACAATCATGTCATCTGCAAATAGAGACAATTTGACTTCCTCTTTTCCTAGTTGAATAACCTTTATTTCTTTTTCTTGACTGATTGCCCTGACCAGAACTTCTAATACTATGTTGAGTAAGAGTGATGGGAGAGGGCATCCTTGTCTTGTGCCAGTTTTCAAAGGGAACACTTTCAGTTTTTGCCCATACAGTATGTTATTGTCTGCAAGTTTGTCATAAATAGCTCTTATTTTAAGATACGTTCCATCGATACCTAGTTTATTGAGTTTTTAGCATAAAGCGCTGTTGAATTTTATCAAAGGCGTTCTCTGCATCTATTGAGATAATCATGTGGTTTTTGTCTCGGTTCTGTTTATGTGATGATGGATTATGTTTATAGATTTGCGTATGTTGAAACAGCCTTGCATTTCAGGGGTAAAGCTGACTTGATCTTGATGGATAAGCTTCTGCATGTGCTGTTGGGTTCAGTTTGCCAGTATTTTATTGAGGATTTTACCATCAATGTTCATGGATATCGGTCTGAAATTTTCTTTTTTCGTTGTGTCTCTGCCAGGTTTTTGTATCAAGAAGTTGGTCTCATAAAATGAGTTAGGTTCTCAGCCCAAAATCTCCTGAAACTGATAAGCAACTTCAGCAGTCTCAGGATACAAAATCAATGTGCAAAAATCACATGCATTCCTATACACCAATAACAGACTTAAAGAGAGTCATATCAAGGATGAACTGCCATTCACAATTGCCACAAAGAGAATAAAATACTTAGGAATACAATTAACAAGAAACGTAAGGACCTCTTCAAAGAGAACTACAAACCACTGCTCAATGAAATAAGAGAGGACACAAACAGATGGAGAAACATTCCATGTTCATGGTTAGGAAGAATCAATACATGAAAATGGCCATACTGCCCAAAGTAATTTACAGATTCAACGCTATCCCCTTCAAGCTACCAATGACCTTCTTCACAGAACTGGAAAAAGACACCTTAAACTTCACATGGAACCAAAAGAGAGCCTGCATAGCCAAGTCAATTCTAAGCAAAAAGAACAAAGCTGGAGGCATCATGCTACCTGACTTCAAACTATAGTACAACGCTACAGTAATCAAAACAGCATGGTACTGGTACCAAAACAGAGATATAGACCAATGGAACAGAACAGAGGGCTCGGAGGCAACGCCACACATCTACAACCATCTGATCTTTGACAAACCTGACAAAAACAAGCAATGAGGCAAGGATTCCCTGTTTAATAAATGGTGTTGGGAAAACTGGCTAGCCACGTGCAGAAAGCAGAAACTGGACCCCTTCCTGACACCTTATACTAAAATTAACTCCAGATGGATTAAAGACTTAAACATAAGACCTAACACCATAAAAACCCTAGAAGAAAATCTAGGCAAAACCATTCAGGACATAGGCATAGGCAAGGACTTCACGACCAAAACACCAAAAGCATTGGCAACAAAAGCCAAAATAGATAAAAGGGACCTAATCAAACTCCACAGCTTCTGCACAGCAAAAGAAACAGTGATTAGAGTCAGCTGGCAACCAACAGAATGGGGAAAAAATTTTGCAATCTACCCATCTGGCAAAGGGCTGACATCCAGAATCTACAAAGAACTAAAACAGATTTACAAGAAAGAAACAAGCCCATTCAAAGGTGGGTAAAGGATATGAACACTTTACAAAGGAAGACATATACGAGGCCAACAAACATATGATAAAATGCTCATCATCACTGGTCATTAGAGAAATGCAAATCAAAACTACATTGAGATACCATCTCACACCAGTTAGAATAGCGATCATTAAAAAATCTGGAGACAACAGATGCTGGAGAGGATGTGGAGAAATAGGAACACTTTTACACTGTTGGTGGGAGTGTAAACTAGTTGAACCATTGTGGAAGATAGTGTGGTGATTCCTCAAGGACCTAGAAATAGAAATTCCATTTGACCCAGCAATCCCATTACTGGGATATATCCAAAGGATTATAAATTGTTCTACTATAAGGACACATGCACACAAATGTTCATTGCAGCACTGTTTACAATAGTAAAGACCTGGAACCAACCCAAATGCCCATCAATGATAGACTGGACAGGGAAAATGTGGCACATATATACCATGGAATATTATGCAGCCATAAGAAACGATGAGTTCGTGTCCTTTGTAGGGACATGGATGAACCTAGAAATCATTATTCTCAGCAAACTGACACAAGAACAGAAAATCAAACACCGCATGTTCTCACTCATAGAAGGATAAAGCATTCAAAGCACCATCTTGGAAACAGAGACTAGATTCCTGCTAGACTACAAACTTGCTGGTGCTTTGATCTTCCCAGACTATAAAACCATGAGAAATATATTTCTGTTGTTTATGAATTACTGATATCACATATTCTGTTAGATAGTATAACTCTATATAAGATTCTTTGTTGAAAGTCTTTTTGTGTTGTTTTGTTTTTTTGAGATGGAATTTTGCTCTTGTTGCCCAGGCTGCAGTGCAATGGCATGATCTCGGCTCACAGCAACCTCCACCTACCTGGTTCCACTGATTCTCCTGCCTCAGCCTCCCAAATAGTTGGGATTATAGGCATGTGCCACCACACCCTGCTAATTTTGTATATTTAGTAGAGAGGGGGTTTCTCCAAGTTGGACTCACTGGTCTCGAACTCCTGACCTCTGGTAAACCACCCACCTAGCCCTCCCAAAGTGCTGGGATTACAGGCATGAGCCACCACGCCCTGCCAAAAGTCTTTTTATTTCAGAACTTTGAACATTTTTTTTTTTTTGAGAACTTTGAACATATTACAGCACTGTCCTCTGCCTTTCATAATTTCTGATGAGAAATCAGCCATTGATTTGCTGAAGATCCCCTCTCAGTGGTGAGATGCCTGTGGTCTTGCTGCTTTCAAAGTTTTCTATCTTTTAATAATTTGATTACGATGTTTTTACTGTTCATCTCTGAATTTTTCCAATTTGGAGTTTATTGAATTTCTTAAATGTGTGGATTAAAGTTTTAAATTAAAAAAAATTAGCGGGGCATTGTGATGCATGCCTATAATCCCAGCTACTCAGGAGGCCAAGACATGAGAATCCTTTGAACCTGGGAGGCAGAGGTTGCAGTGGGCCAAAATTGAGCCACTGCACCCTAGCCTGGGCAACAGAGCAAGACCCTGTCTCAAAAACAAACAAAAAAAAAAATTAAAAGAAAATTTTTTTAAGTATACTTACTTAGTTTCTCCATTAGAATGTCAGCTCCAGGTGGGCTGCTGAATCCTCAGTACATAAAACAATGCACAGCAGGTGCTGAACAAATACTTGTCATCCACTGTAGGAAAAAAATATCAAATCATACAAAAAGATGTAAAATAAAAAGTATATTGTCTTCACTTCCATCAGTTCCTCTCCTCCAAAGTGACAGTCTGATGCGTACTTTTAGAAGAAAATGTACCTAAATACAGGTTTTAAAAAAATATTTTGACAGATTTAAATGGATCATACTGTACATAGAGTTCTTTGTGTAGTTAATATATTATCTGGGTACATTCTGATCTGCTTTGTTTTTTGGGGGTTTTGTTTTTAGTTTGGGTTTTGAAATGGGGTCACACTCTCCCAGGCTGGAGTACAGTAGTTGATCATAGCTCACAACAACCTCGAGCTCCTGGGCTCAAGCAATCCTCCTGGTTTAGCTTCCCAAGTAGCTGGGACTGCAGGTGCACTGCTGCCATATCGGGCTTGCTTCATTTGTGTTCATGATGCATGCTTGTCTGGAACGTGGATGTGCCCTGCTGGCATTACCTTTCTCCCATTCATTGCAAAAACAGGTTTTTCCCTGTTTTCTACTATCATGATCCATGCTACAATGAGTGTCCTGGTGCCTGTACTGGGGTACAGTGACAGGTCTATCCCTGCCTAGCTGGCTTTGAAAAGTTTAAAGACAACAGTGCAGGCCGGGCACAGTTGCTCACACCTGTAATCCTAGCACTGTGGGAGGCAGAGGCGGGGTGGATCACCTGAGGTCAGGAGTTCAAGACAAGCCTGACCAAAATGATGAAACCCCGTCTCTTCTAAAAACACAAAATTAGCTAGGTGTGGTGGCTCATGTCTGTAATTGCAGCTACTCCGGAGGCTGAGGCAGGAGAATCACTAGAACCCAGGAGGCGGAGGTTGCAGTGAACCGAGATCACGCCATTGCACTCCAGACAGGGAGTGAACAAGAGTGAAACTCCATCTCAAAAAAAAAAAAAAAAAATGCAGTGCAACTTACCATTTTGCAAAGCTGGCCCCATGTCAGGAGACCATATAGAGATGGACTATGGAAATTACCTTTTAAGCACAGTTAAAAACAGTTAATGGTGAAAGATGACTTCAGATGATGCCCCATGTCTTTTCTGTCTTTTTATTGTTAACTGTGTCATTCTTTTTGTACTGTTGTGCTCATTACAACTATTCCTTCTTGGTCAGGTTGACAAATTTTTCTGTGAACCAGCATTAAACATTTTTATAAATATAAAACTTATCTGTTAAACTACCACCTGCTTCATGTTAGCTGAGTCGCAGGTGGAATGTTTAAGGAAGTTCTAGCCTTTTCAGCATTTGTGAAAGTGTGCTCGTGCCGACACTGAATTTTCTTAGTCTTACCTTAAATCTCTCAGAGTCTGGACCTGCAGGAGAGATGGTGTTCAAATTCAAGCCTGCATCAGAATCATCCTGATAGCTTAATATATTTGGTTGGTTGACTGATTGATTGAGATGGAGTATCACTCTGTTTCCCAGGCTGGAGTGCAGTGGCGTGATCTTGGCTCACTGCATCCTCCGCCTCCTGGGTTCAAGTGATTCTTTTACCTTAGCGTTTGAGTAGCTGGGATTACAGGCATGCAACACCACACCTGACTAGTTTAAAAAATATTTTTAGTAGAGATGGTGTTTCACCATATTGGCCAGGCTGGTCTCAAACTCCTGACCTCAGGTGATCCATTTGCCTCGGCCTCCCAAAGTGCTGGGATTACAGGCGTGAGCCACTGTGTTGGCTGATAGCTTGTTACTATAAATCAGCTTTCTGGGCCCCACGCAGATTTTCAGTTTAGTAGGTCTGGGTGGCGCCTGAGTATCTGCATTCCTAACACATCCCCAGGTTCTGCTGCTGCTGGTCCAGGTCAACATGCAGAGACACACTGGAGTTGATCCTACTCAAAGTGTGGTCCATGGACCAGCAGCCATGGCATCACCTGGTGCTTATTAACAGTGCAGAATTTTAGGCCTCAGCCCAGATCCACTGAAACAGAATTTGAATTGTAACTAGTTCTCTAGGTGGTGTGTATAGACAATAAAGTTCAAGAGACACTGGAAGAAAGTAGGAGTAAAGAAATTTTTTCTGGAAACTTTCAGCATTCCAGGCCATATGGTCTTTATCACAAATACCTGTCTCTTCCTGCGTAGTGGAAAAGCAGCCTTAGATAATACGGAAATCGATGGGTGTGACCGTGTTCCTGTAAACATGTTTTTAGAAATACTAAAATTTAAATTTTACAGAATTTGCATCTGTCAGGTAATATTGTGTTGATTTTTTTTTCACCATTAAAAATATGAAATCTGGGGCCAGGCGCGGTGGCTCACGCCTGTAATCCCAGCACTTTGGGAGGCCGAGGCAGGTGGATCACAAGGTCAAGAGATCGAGACCATCCTGGTCAACATGGTGAAACCCCGTCTCTACTAAAAATACAAAAAATCAGCTGGGCATGGTGGCGCGTGCCTGTAAGCAATCCCAGCTGCTCAGGAGGCTGAGGCAGGAGAATTGCCTGAACCCAGGAGGCGGAGGCTGCAGTGAGCCGAGATCGCGCCATTGCACTCCAGCCTGGGTAACGAGAGCGAAACTCCGTCTCAAAAAAAAAAAAGAAAAAAAAAATATATATATATATGAAATCTGGCTGGGCACTGTGGCTCATGCCTGTAATCTCAGCACGTTGAGAGGCTGAGGCAGGTGGGTTGCTTCAGGCTAGGAGTTTGAGACCAGCCTGGCCAACATGGTGAAACCCGGTCTGTACTAAAATCAAAAAAATTAGCTGGCCGTGGTGGTGCATACCTTTGGTCTCAGCTACTCAGGAGACTGAGGCAGGAGGATCACTTGAACCCAAAAGGCGGAAGTTGCAGTGAGCCAAGATCATACCACTGCACTCCCGACTAGGCAAAAGAGTGAGACGCTGTGCCCCACAAAAAAATTAGCAGGGTGCAGTGGAGCATGACGGTCATCCCAGCTTCTTGGGAGGCTGAGGCACGGGAATTGTTTTAACCTGGGAGGTGGAGGTCGCGTTGAGCCAAGGTCATACCACTGCAATCCAGCCTGGGCAACAGAGCAAGACTCCATCTCAAAAAAACTAAAAAATGAAATCCATGCTGCGTTCACGAGCCGTATGTGGACCTCAGAACATTTTTGGCCAGCCCCTGGCTTAGAGGAATGTTCTTCTGAGAGTCAGGTCACCTGCCACATTCTACTGCCAGCTCACAGTGTGACCCCAAAGCCAGTTAGCTTACCTCCCTGGCTCTAGATTTTGTCACACGGAAAATGAAGGGGTTAGATCTCAAACATGTCAAATACTAGGCCCTTCCCTTCCTTCTCATGCACACAGCAGACACCCGGTCACTCATGGCGTTCCTTCCCACTGAGTTACGTTCAAGCAGCCCTCCACATGACTGCTGCCAGTGGACTGGAGTTGAGCAAGAAATGGCATCTCGTTGCTCTTCTGTGACTCCGTGTTCCCTAAGATCACATCTAGCTCCAGTGCCCCTGCATTCTGCCTTGTACATCATATTCTTCTTACACCCTAGTCCCTTGCCTTTACCAGGATACGCTGACAAACTCTATTTCTCTTCAAATTTCTTTTTGTAATTTTAGTAGAGATGGGGTTTCTCCATATTGGTCAGGCTGGTCTTGAACTTCCAATCTCAGGTGATCCACCCGACTTGGCTTCCCAAAGTGTAAAAGTGTTGGGATTACAGGCATGAGCCACAATATCCAGCATTTTTTTTTTTTTTTTTTGAGAGACGAATTCTCACTCTGTCACCCAGGCTGGAGGGCAGTGGCACAATCTCCATTCACTGCAGCCGCTGCCTCCCTAGTTCAACTGATTCTCCTGCCTCAGTCTCCCAAGTAGCTGGGACTACAGGTGCAAGCTGCCATGACAAGCTAATTTTTGTATTTTTAGTAGAGATGGGGTTTCACCATGTTGCCCAGGCTAGTCTTGAACTCCTGAACTCAAGTGATCCACCTGCTTTGGCCTCCCAAAGTGCTAGTATTACAGGCGTGAGCCACCATGACCATACTTTTTTTTTTTTTGAGATGGAGTCTCACTGTCACCCAGGCTGGAGTGCAGTGGTGCCATCTCGGTTCACTACAACCTCCGCCTCCGGGTTTCAAGTGATTCTTGTGCCTCAGCCTCCTGAGTTGCTGGGATTACAAGTGCACACCACCATACCTGGCTAATTTTTGTATTTTTAGTAGAGATGGGGTTTCACCATGTTAGCCAGGCCGGTCTTAATCTGACTTCAGGTGATCCACCCACCTTAGCCTCCCAAAGTGCTGAGACTACAGGCATGAGCCACTGTGCCCAGCCAAGAGTTCATTCTTGTACATAACTTAGTATTCAGTTGTGCAGATGCACATAATGGGTAAATCGGTCTGTTCACTTGCTAATAGATGTCTGGCTCACCTCCAGTTTGGGTTATCACAAACAAAGTGGCTAAGAATGTTCCTGTATCAGTCTTTTATAAACATATGTTCTCAGCTCTCTTGGGTGGATGTCTGGGAAGGGAGTGGCTGGCTGTATGGTCACTGTGTCTAACTTTAAAAAAACACAAAAAAAAAAAAAAAAAAAAATGCCAAACTCTTCCAGAGTCACAGAAGCATTTTATAGTCATGCCAGCAGAAACCACAATCCAAAATGGTCCTACGCTCTAAGAGGCCATACACACAAAAAAGGGACATAAAACGATTGCACACAAACCAATGAAGCATTGGGCTTTCAAACCCAAAGGTAGAAGCAGGGAGATCGCTCACACCTGCCTCCTTTTTTTTTTTTTTTTTTTTGAGATGGACTCTCACTCTGTCCCCCAGGCTGGAGTGCAGTGGTGCAATCTCAGCTCACTGCAACCTCTCCCTCCCAGGTTCAAACAATTCTCATGCCTCAGTCTCCCAGGTAGCTGGGATTACAGGTAAGTATCACCATACCCAGCTAATTTTTGTATTTTTAGTAGAGACGGGGTTTCTCCATGTTGGCCAGGCTGGTCTCGAACTCATGACCTCCTCCCACCTCCACCTTCCAAAGTGCTTTGATTACAGGCATGAGCCACCGTGCCCCAGCACACCTGACTTTTGAGAGGAAGTCACTCAGGGGTGAAGAAATTTTGTAAAGGGGTCCAAGAAGCCATGCAGACCCCCAAGCCCAGGCCTTCCTCATCTGGGTCCCTGAGCCTAGGAAACCCAGCAGCCCAGGGCTGCACGGGCTGCATTCCCTTCTCTGGTTAACTAAAGGGATCTGTGTGTAAAGGGCCAAACCAGGAAATTCCAGCCTAGGACAGGGTTGTTCTTGTCACTGTCTCTGGTTCCACAGGGGTTACAGGTGCCAGATCTGGCTTATGCCTCTGGGAATTAAGCAAGTAATCCCTCTGTCAATCTTCCTAGGAAATGACGCCCTGGCCCCAAGCTAAGCATCCCTAAACACGATGGTACTCACAGAGCCAGCCCCCTTTCAGGTGGCCTGCTTTCAAGCCCAATGAGCCAGTTCTCACCACACCCTCCCTGGCAAGATGGAAGTGTAGAGATGAATAAATACAACTTGTACAACTAAAACCTGCCCAGCATTTACTCAGGACTAGGGGACAGCTTATTATGACATTTATCTCACTGAATTTTCAGAAAATGCTCTGGTAATAAATGGAGGCTCATGCATGTAATCTCAGCACTTTGGGAGACCAAGTTAGGTAGATTGCCTGAGCTCAGGAGCTCAAGAACAACCTGGGCAACATGGCAAGATACCATCTCTACAAAAAGAAATTAGCCAGGTGTGGTGGCGCGTGCCCATAGACCCAGCTACTCGTGTGGCTGATGCAGGAGGATAACTCCAGCCTAGGCGATGGAGGCTGCAGTGAGCTGAGTTGGCACCACGGCACTCCAGCCTGGACAAAAGAGTGAGACCCTGTGTCATAATAATAGAGGCTCCCAGTGAGGCATGAAAGAACTTCATGGACAGGCCTTGAGGTGCCCACCCAGGTCTCCCTGCCTTCACTCTCATCCCTAATATCCACCCTCCCCAGGGCAGCCTGGGTTGTTATAAACCAGAACTCAGCTGTGTATGGTGGATCATGCCTGTAATCCCAGCTACTTGGGAGGCTGAGGCAGGAGGATCTATAAAAGCCATGAGTTGGAGACCAGCCTGGGCAACACAGTGAGACCTGTCTCTATTAAAATTAAATAAATAAAAAGGCCAGGCACAGTGGCTCACACCTATAATCCCAGCACTTTGGGAAGCCGAGGTAGGCAGATCCCCTGAGGTTGGCAGTTTGAGACCAGCCTGACCAACATGGAGAAACACTGTCTCTACTCAAAATACAAAAATAGCCAGGTGTGGTGGTACATGCCTACAATCCCAGCTACTAGGGAGGCTGAGGCAGGAGAATCACTTGAACCCAGGAAGCAGAGGTTGTGGTGAGCCAACATTGCACCATTGCGCTCCAGCCTGGGTGACAAGAGTGAAACTCTGTCTCAAAAAATACATGTATAAAATAATAAGTCAGGCGTGGTGGTGCACACCTGTAATCCCAGCTACCTGGGAGGCTGAGGAATGAGAATAGCTTGAACCCAGGCGGTGGAGGTGGCAGTGAGCTGAGATGATACCACTGTACTCCAACCTGGTGACAGAGCAACACTTCGTCTCAAAAAAAAAAAAAAAAAAAAAAAAAAAAGAGTATGTGTTTTGTTCTACTTCCTGAACCCTCAGGGACTAAACATCGCTAAGCACAAAAACAGCAGTCAGTTTCACCTGCTCAGTGAATTAAGAGCCAGGTCAGTGAAGGAGCTTCTTAATTCAAACTCCGTCCCCCTCCTGAGGCTCTGCTTCTCCCATGGTGTCTCCAACAATCTGCTTGCCTGGCAAGCTCCAGTTAACACAAAGGTGGGCATCCTTCTTCCACGAAAGGAAGCCGAGCCAGGCAATCAGCAGAGGTGTTGGTGATGAGGAATGCTGAAGTCCATGTTACAAATGTGGCCTTCATAGCAGGGAGAACACTGCAGGTGAGGCTGAAGGAATCCAGGTGATAGGTGATATTAGGGGTCAACTTGACGGGGTCAAGGGATACCCAGATGGCTGGTAAAGTGTTACTTCTGAGTGTGTGCCTCTGAGGGTGTCTCCAGATGAGACTGGCATTTGAATCAGTGAACTCAATAAGGAGGATCCATTCTCACCCCATGTGACTGGGCACCACCCAATCAGCAGAGGGTCCAGACACAAGATCAGCAAAATGGTAAATTCATGTGATTTCTCTTCTACAGCCAGGATGTCATCCTCTCCTGCACCTGGAAATCAGAACTCCAGAACTGGCCTCTGGGACTTACCCCAGTCATTCCAGGTTCTCTGTGGACTGAGAATTCCACCATCAGCTTCCCTAGGTCTGAGATCTTCAGACTTGGCCTGAGCCATGCTACAAGCTTCTCGGGTCTCCAGCTTGCAGATGGCCTAGCATAGGACTTCTCCATAATCACATGATCCAGTTTCCCTAGTAGATCCCCTCTCACCCTCAATCCATCCACTCATCCATCATTTATCAATCATCCATCTATCTATCATCTATCCATCCACCTATCATGTATGCATCCACTATCTATCCATCTATCATCTATCATCTACCACTCTGTTATTTATCCATCCAACCATCCATCCATCCTACTAGTTCTGTCTCCATGTAATAAACAGGGACCCCACCTCTGTTGCCTGCCAACAACCTTCAACTGGGTCATGGACATGGGCCATTTCCGTACAATGCTTAGCCATGGAGGCCCAAGCTCTATCTGTCTCCCACGAGACAATTTCTCCCATCACCTGGACCACCCAAACAGCCTCCTACCAGGGTCACAAGGTCCTCTGCTGATGTCCTAGTGGCTGGCACCATGGATGTCCCAGATTTTGATCCACCATCTGGGTCTGACTGAAGGCCTGTATCCTGGGCATCCCTGGAATAGAATGAGAAACTGAACCTGGGTCTGGGGTTTTTCTCTGTAAGGCCAATGGGTCTGTGGAGAATCCAATGCACCAGGCTGGCCCTGTCACAGCTTACCATAGTAAGCTTACCCCAGAACAGGCAACAGAAACAAAAACAGCCACCCTACTGCCCCCATGGCCACAATCCACTGCCCTCACGTCACTTGCAATCTCACGTTCCAGCTCGTCCCGACTCAGGATGCGTCTTACATCCTTGTTTAATTGGCAGTTGCTTTTCTTTCTTACTGTTACACATAATAATAATGTATCACGCAACTGACGGTGTCTCAGATTTGAAAAGTTAGGGTATGTACAGTGGAGGCCCTGACCTGATTCCCAAAAGAATGACAGAGATGGTGCAGTGGGGCATGCCTTACATAGGGGATAGAGTCTAAAATTCAATACAGCCAAAATCACCTGCAAATGGCACTTCTTTGGCTAAACAAACATACATGGTCAGCTGGACATGTTCTGTGTTGGACAGAAACACTTCAAACAGCAAGAACACAGGTTTAGGGGTGGAAAAAAAGGCTGACATGACAAAGCATTAGCAATCGTGAAATCTGGGTGATAAGCTTATTGAGTTTTATTGTATTAGTCTTTCTATGTGACTGTACCCAGGCTGGAGTACAGTGGTGCAATCTCGGCTCACTGTAACTGCCGCCTCCTGGGTTCAAGTGATTCTCCTGCCTCAGCCTCCCAGGCAGCTGGGATTACAGGCACCTACCACCACGCCTGGCTAATTTTTGTATTTTTAGTGGAGACAGGGTTTCACCACATGGGCAGGCTGGTCTCGAACTCCTGACCTCAGGTAATCCACCCGTCTCGGCCTCCCAAAGTGCTAACATTACAGGTATGAGCCACCGCACTCAGCCAACTGAACACTTTTATAATAAAAAGTTAAACTTTCATTTTTTTAAAATAATTTCAAACTTATAGAAAAATTACTGAAATCATACTACGAATTCGCTCAACTCACCACTATTAACACATTGCCAAGTTTACAGTAACATTCTGTCTCTATCCACAGACACACACACACACACACACACACACACACACACATGCAAACACGTCATCTCATCATCTTTTTCTAAACCATTCAGACAGAGGCCTAGCACAGTGGCTCACACATGTAATCCCAGCACTTTGGGAGGTTGAGGTGGGTGGATCACCAGAGGTCAGGAGTTTGAGACCAGCCTGGTCAACATGGTGAAAACCCATCTCTACTAAAAATACAAAAATTTGCCAGGCATGGTGGTGCATGCCTATAATCCCAGATACTCAGGAGGCTGAGACAGGAGAATCACTTAAACCCAGGAGGCAGAGGCTGCAGATCACGCCACTGCACTCCAGCCTGGACAACAGAGCAAGACTGTGTCTCAAAAAAAAAAAAAAAAAAAGGTAAGATGTAGGCTCCACATATCTTTACCCCCCAAAACTGGGAGTATCCCCTTACAATCCAGGACATGCTCTTATGTAACTGGAGCACAATTTCCAAAACAAGAATGAATGTTATTAGCATGCATCTGGTGTCCTGCAGTCATATACAAATTACATCAACTGTTCCAGTGACGTTCTTTAATGGTAATTTGAAGAAATTATTTAAAACATCTAATCTTTTAAAAAGATGTTTGTAAAAAGTTCATAAAGAGAAGAATGAGACTAGGCATGGTGGCTCACTCCTATAATACCAGCACTCTGGGAGTCTGAGGTGGAAGAATCACTTGAGCTCAGGAGTTGGAGACCAGCCTGGGCAACATGGTGAAACCCCATCTCTGCAAAAAATACAAAAATCTGTTGGGCATGGTGGAGCATGCCTATAGTCACAGCTACTGAGGAGGCTGAGGCAGTAGCATCACCTGAACCCAGTAGATCAAGACTGCAGTGAGCTATGATTGTGCCACTGCACTCCAGTGCCAGCTACAGAGTAAAAGATTGTCTCCAAAAAGCCAAAAAGACGATGCATATTAGATGCAAAAGCCAAAACGATGATGGATATTAGATGATTATTTGAAAGAAAGATTCTTCAAATAATCCCCAATACGATGTTGACAATGGGCAGAAAAAGATGTACAAAAAGAAAACCACATGGTGGCTGGGCATTGTGGCTTACACCTGTAATCCCAGCACTTTGGGAGGCCGATGTGGGTGGATCACCTGAGGTCAGGAGTTCAAGACCAGCCTGGCCAACGTGGCAAAACCCTGTCTCTACTAAAAATACGAAAATTAGCCAGGCATGGTGGTGCATGCCTGTAATCCTAGCTACCTGGGAGACTGAAGCAGGAGAATCGCTTGAACCCAGGAGGCAGAGGTGGTAGTGAGCCAAGATCGCACCACTGCACTCCAGCCTGGGACACAGAGTGAGACTTCATCTCAAAAAGGAAAGAAGACCAGAAGGAGGTGTACTAAAATGGTGAAAATGGTTGCCTCTGGGTGTTTCCTTACTACTGAACTGCACATGTGTTTTTTTAAACCCACGTTTCCTATGGTGAGACGGTATTATTTTAAAGGACTAGGGGATGGGAGGGGAACAATGTCAATAATAACTATACCTAATATTTTAAAGAGCCAAATCTGTCAGGTTGAACATGATGTTTATGCAAGAAATTAAATACATACATACATACAAACACACATACCCAAATCTGAAGCTAAAGCAAGAGCAGTCCGGTATATGGCTGTTCTAGGCCAAGCCTTCTGCAGATATTTAAGCTGTTAATGGCTCATGTGTTTATCATATTCAAGGTGATGGACTTGGGGGACAGAGTTGGTGTCTCTAAGACAACATGGCTAGCACAGGCAGATTCTAGACAACTCTGCAGAAGAGCAAAGGAGAGAGAAGTCAAGCAGGGAGCTCAGCATGATCATTCATTCATTCATTCATTCCCCACCACCTCCCTGAGGTCTCAGGGGCCCAGCCTTACCCTGTGATCCACCAGAAGGTGATCCTGGACAGGAAGGAGGCGCTGGACTCTGGGCAAGGATTCTTGTGGAAAGAAAGAACAAGTTAGGGAGGAAGAAGGAAAGGAATGATTCAACTTTTCATCTAGGCCAGAGCTTGGCAAGGAGTAGTCAGCTGTCCATTCTTCCTTCAAGAGGACCAGTGTCCACTTCATACCATTCTGCACCCCAAAAGGATTCTCTCCTAAGCCCCAGGAGAAAGAAACTCAAAGCACCTCCTCTGGTTTGACTCAACAGTGTCTACCAGGTGCAACCACAATACAACAAGCTATCAACCTGCCTTATCTTCTATCCCCGCAGCAACGCTAGAAGCTGGTGTTACCATCATCCCCACTTCACTCATTCATTCAACAAATATTTTCTGAGCACTTACTAGGTGCTAGGCACTCTATAAGGTACTACAGGGTTACCTTAGATAACCACGACAACCTCCTAAGCTGGTATTACTATTGTCCTCATTTTCCTCATTCAGGCATTGAATATTTATTGACCACCTACTCTGAGCTAGACATGCTACCAAGAACTTATATACTTGTATTATTTTACATCCTCATGGAATTCTTTAAACCTAGTATTACTATTATCTCCACTTCATTCATTCATCCAACAAATATTTCCTGAGCACCATCCATGTGCCAAGCACCCTGCACGCAAATCTAAACAAACAGAAATGAGCCCTGCCTGTATGGAGCTTGTGGTCCACTGCAGTAATCATCAGTAACATCTGCCAAGATTCTCTTCTGTTAATAGCTAGCTCTGTTCTAAGTGCTTTACACAAATTACCCTATCTAATCCTCATCCCCAACTTACAAGGTAGGTGAAAGTATTATATCATCCCTGTTTTGCAGTTGAAATAAACTTGGTACCAAAGATGAAATGATTTGTTCAAGGTCCCACAGCTAAAAGTGGTGGAGACAGGACGTGAGCCCCAAAGAGTCAGGCTCCAGACAGACATGCGTCAAATGATCACACAAATGCAAAACTGCAACTTCTGAGCCTTGATATGTGTCCTGAAGGTAGAGAAATATTACCAATGAGACAAAGTCAGTACATGGGGGCTGCTCTGGTGTACCAAGGTCAGAGAAGCTCCCCCGAGGAAGACAGTCAAGCTGGCACCTGAAAGATGAGTAGAGGAGAACTAAGTAATGAGGAAAGGCAAGGCATTCCCAGCAGACAGCATTGTGTGCAAAAGCCTGGTGGTAGAAGGAAGCACGGCAGACTCCAGGAACCAAGAGGGGGCCTGAGCAGTCTACAATGAAGGCTGTGCACAGTCTACACTGCAAGCCACATATTTTGGTATTCATTCTAAGGGCAAGGGAAAGTGCTGAGAGACTCTAAGCAAGCTATCAAATAACTTATTTCCCAGAGGCACAAAGATGAGCCCCAACTCAACATACAGGCAAGGAAAGGGACCGACACGGAGTCCTGGGATAACAGACCAAGCCTGGCTTTCAACACAGATGCATTCGGGTCAAAATTCTGAAACACAAGCTTTAAGCAGGAGAGGAAGAAAGGTCACCATGTAGCAATGACAGCTTTAGCCAAGGACTCCACTCAACGTCCCAGCCTTCTGCAGAGATAAGGTATTTACAGAGCCCAATAAGGCAGCATACTCAAGTGGTTTTCCATCCAAGGCTGGGTGTGCTTTTAAAGAAAAACTGTATCCTGGTGGGGTGTGGTGGTTCACACCTGTAATCTGAGCACTTTGGGAGACCAAGGCGGGCAGATCACTTGAGGTCAGGAGTTGGAGACCAGCCTGGCCAACATGGCAAAACCTTGTTTCTACTAAATATACAAAAATTAGCTGAGAGTGGTGGCTCACAACTGTAGTCCCAGCTACTCAGGAGGCTGAGGCAGGAGAATCACTGGAGCCCAGGAAGCAGAGTTGGCAGTAAGCTGAGATCTCATCACTGTACTTCACTCTGGGGACCCTGTCTGTATCCAGGCCCTATACCCACCAGGGATTCTGATTAAGGTGGTTTGGGGTGCAACTGGGGCCCTGAACCTTTGTTTTTAACATTCACATTCTTCTTGGAAAAGTGGCTGGGCAGGATAAGCCAAGAACATTTTGTCACAATGGACAACAAGGAAACTAAGCATAAACAGGATTGTTACAAGGCCCAAGAGCCAAGCAGAAGTGGCACTGCAGGCTAAAACAGGGACAATTTGAGCTTGGACAAGGCGAGTACGTGCAACAGACTGAAACATACCATGTATTTTGATTTGTTTGTTTCTTTGAGACAAAGTCTTGCTCTGTCTCCCAGGCTGGAGCATGTGGTGTGATCTTGGCTCACTGCAACCTCCATCTCCTGGGTTCAAGTGATCCTCCCGCCTCGGCCTCCCAGGTAGTTGGGATTACAAGCATGAGCCAGGACACTGCGCTAATTTTTGTATTTTTAGTAGAAACGGGGTTTCACCCTGTTGGTAAACAGGATGGTCTTGAACTCCTGACCTCAAGTGATCCACCCACCTCAGCCTCCCAAAGCGCTTGGATTACTGAAATGAGCCACCATGCCTGGCCAAAAACCTCCATTTTTACTTAAGGTTTTAATGATTAATTTCACGTTATAATGTGAAAAGTAATGAGTCCCTAGCAGTCTTATCCCAAAAACGGGCTGATTATAAAGCACTACTTTGCTCAGTTCCATTTTCCTTCAAATCGCCTATTTTGAGTAAATACACTAGTTTCATTTTCCACCCCTATATAGGGGTGGTAAATACTACTAGTAAAAAAAACCATAATTAGCACCAGTACAAATTCAAGGTTTCCAACCTGAGCGTAAGCATTGCTTTGTAATTTTTTTTACCCATCCCATGTTACAGTCTCCTATTACCCCAAAATGAAATCTCAAATGTCCTCCATTCTGCATAAAACCCATGCTGGCCCCTCAGTGGAAAACATCAACCACGAATTATGGATCTCTTCACTTTACCTTCACACCACCGATTTCTGTCACACTGGCTGTGCTTATCACCATGTATGTCTAGCATTAGACTGGACTCCTAGGGAAGAGGAACTCACATTCATTTCTCGGTCCCGAGGGCAAAACTCCAAAGTGTAATTAAGGAAAGAAACAACCAATTCTTTCAAGTTCTGAATTTGTGGTCCTCTCAAAAATGGCAGTGTGTATTCAAGCTCTGCTTGTTTTCATGTTCCAGTTCTCTAGTTTTGGGGGGTCTTACAAAATAGGCGAGGAAGTAAAAAATGTCTAGAGATTACTCCCACATGGTAATCTTTGCAAATAAAACTCTTAGACCTAACTTTATACTAATAAAAATTTCATGTGTTTTTTTTTGTTTGTTTGTTTGTTTGTTTTGAGACAGGGTCTTGCTCTGTCACTCAGGCTGGAGTACAATTACAGCTCCCTGCAACCTCATCCTCCTGAGCTCAAGCAATCCTACCTCAGCCTCCCAAGTGCTGGGGTCACAGGCACAAGCCACCATGTGTGGCTAATTTTTTGTAGAGAAGGGGTTTCACCATGTGGCCCAGGCTGGTCTCAAACTTCTGGGCTCGCAGGATCTGCCTGTCTCAGCCTCCCAAAGTGCTGGGATGACAGGCATGAGCCACTGTGTCCGGCATCAATACCACATTTTAATTGTGTGTTGAAGTGGCTGGATTGAAGGAAGAAATGGGTACTCCATTTTCTCTTATTTTCCAGTCCTAAGGGGTTTTAAAAAACACCAATATTAAAGTTTAAATGTCCTAGAGCTGAAAGAAATTTAAAAACTTGACAGTCTCACAGTGATTTCAGAGATGAAAAGATTTTCAGAGATGAAAAGCATGATTTACCAAATTTAAAATAGCAATAAAAGCAATAAGTAGCAGATGAAATATAACCAAACAAAAATTAGTAACATAAAAAAATCAGTAACTGAATGATCCTACAACTCGAATCAAAAGGACAAAATAGATTAACAAGATGAAAGAAAAAAGTGTTAGAAATATGCAAATCAACCTTACCAATACTGTGTATAGAAAGAAAACAGTATTTATTTTTTTTGACAAATTTATTGAGCGTTGAGCATCTAATATACTACAGTCATGATACAACCAGAATGAGAGACATGGAATGTGTCTTCAAAATGTCCACATTCTAGAACAAATGAGGCTGAAGTAGTCACCAAAGAAATTACTGAATAAAACTATGCTTATGAAGAAAGGGGGAAGAGAAGGAAAAAAATAAATGTATACATTTTATGTTTTAGCCAAATTTAAGGCACAGAGATTCTGATAGAATTTCAAAGATTTCAGAGATAAAATATCCTTCAAGCATGGTGAGGATTGGGTGTCTAGGGTAATCAAGTTTTTAAAAACATCTGGATGACAATGTTTTTAATACCACACATGGACAAGGATATGGTTACATTGGCACTCCCATACATTTGAAGTGGGAACATAAATTGTTTTAATTTTCTAGACATAAATTTGATGATTCCGCTTCATGTACAGCTTCGGAACCTTACTAAGGTTTCTGCCAGGCATGGTAGCTCACGCCTGCATTCCCAGCATTTTGGGAGGCTGAAGGTGGACCACTTGCTGACCAAGCCAGCCACCAGCCTGGCTAACATGGTGAAACTTCACCTCTACTAAAAATAGGAAAATTAGCTTGGTGTAGTGGCACATACCTGAAATCCTAGCTACTTGGGACACTGAGGCAGAACTGCTGAACCTAAGAGGCAGAGGTTGCAGTGAGCAGGGATTGTGCCATCACACTCCAGCCTGGGCAACAAAGCAATACTCTGTCAAAAAAATGAATAAATAGAACCTGGTCAATAAAGTGATACTCTGTCAAATAACTAACTAAATAAAGCATTAGTAAGGTTTTTTATACCCTTCCCATTCCCTTCCATTCTTTGTGCTATTGTCATACCTTTTATTCCCACGTTATAAAAGTTATAATGCATTATTATTTTTGCTTTAAACAACTATCTTTTTAAAGCTACTGTTTCTTTAATTCACAATGTTGCACAACCATCACCACTAATTGCAGAACATTTCGATCACACAAAAAGGGAAATCCTGTACCTGTTAGCAATCACCTTCAATACAACAATCTTTTAAAGAGATTAAAAAAGAAAAAAAAATGTCTTATTTTACTTTCATAGTTACCATTTCTAGCATTTCTCAATCCTTTGTCATTTGCCTTCTGCCTGAACAACTTCAACATTTCTTGTAGATGTCTGCCAGCAACAAGTTCCAGCAGGCTTTTTTTTTTTTTTTTTTTTTT